ATCTGTTCATGTAACCCCACAGTGACGGTGCTGAAGAAGCCATTGTATTGGTAGAGATTAGAGATGAGCATGTCAATGTGAGACGGCTCCCGCAGCAGCGGCTGTGTTAATGAGAGACAGCCTATTAAACAACGAGAGCCACCGCCGCATCGAGAAAAATGGAGCAGCAGCTATGTTAGTGAGACATTGAGCCTGTTTATGTAAAGACATTTAACAAGGTAATGTAACTCAGAGAGTGGGAAATAACTGCTAACATAGGTAGGATGGAAGCATCACAGCCAGTTATTACTTTACCTGGTTATTATCGTCCTTCCAATGATTGCTCAGTTTGTACCCATCTCTGTTGAAATTGTGTCTGTGTTGAAATATCTGGATGGCTTCATGAACAAATCTTTGTTGATAGCCAGTGGGTTTGCGTAGTACCTTCGTCTTGGAGAAATCTATTTAATGTGTGCCCACAGCGTTAAAACAATGATCAGCCACGGCAGAGGTGTTGGTCCTACCGTGTTTCAGATCCGCCTTGTGTTCACGAACACGGTCAGCCCGGCGGGCACGAGCCCTAACCCTAACCACACTAGCCAACCAGGCCCTAGCCCTAACCACACTAGCCATACATATACTATTTACACTTGTTTACCCAGGAAAGTCTCACTGAGTCTCATAACACTTTTTCAGGAGGGTCCTGCATAAGGAAACGACGCCTAAACCTAACCACACTAGCCAACCGGACACCATAACTTCCTCTCATCCGAACTACAAATATCTACCAGATATTAGTCCCCAGCTCTAAGCACTCAGTGTAGCCAGATGTGAGCCCTGCCCCTAACCACCCAAGCTAACCAAATGCTAACCCTATAAATACTAGCCAACCAGACCATGCACGTTACGGAACTCGCCCATCAGTCCCTATTCCTACCCATAATTTGACTACTTTCTAGCCCTATTACTCGGCCTAGTCACAGCTTCCCCTTGTTGGCGCTTTGTCCCCCCAGGCTTTTCACTCTTTATTTTATTTCTGCTTTTGACACCTACGCCTGAACACCATCTGATGTGAAGAGAATGAATGGTAAAGACTGATAACAAGACTAAGCCAACATATACACATGTGTGTGTTGGCCAAGTTTGGAACATTGTGGGTATCATTCTCATTTTGGTGATGTCTCGTTTTCCTATATTTTTGTAAAAACCTGAATTGCCGTTATCAATGTCAACATGATTTCCTGCTCAAATGAGCATTGAGGTTTACACACATTTCCTGTTTACAGCCACGGGCCAGTGGTGGAGATTTTGCATTTCTTTGGCTGGGTGATTGATCCATAGGACAACAACTTGTTTATTTTTTCCACAAAGTGGTACTCGTATCGGCCTCGGAGGGAGGGATGGTGGGTTGAGTCACGACCCCCACCTCCCTCCCCTAACCAGGATTTGACCTCGCAACCTTCCAATTGCGAGCCGCTCACTCTACCACAGAGCCACCGGGCCTCCACATGCATAAAAAAAGTTTTTGACAAAAGCTGAGCAGTCGCCACGATGAGATACGACAGCATTTCGTATTGCAGTTATTAATGGAAAGTATAGCACGCAATTTTCCAAAATCCAGGGTAAAATGTTGCATTCTTAGAGTTCGGAGAAAACCATCTGGACTCAAAAAGTCCCGCAGTAATGCGTATTTAAGATTCCAGAGTCTGAGTAGAAACACCTGGCATGGGCACCATCAAGCTGAACCCTATCTAAAATTATTCGAATTTGCTGGAGACAAACTAAGGCTCAAAGGGGCGCATGACGGCACCGTCGATGGAAAGATTCTAAGAGTGGCCGGGGAAAGGTGACCTCGAGTGGGCCAGCGCAGCAGCGGCATCGGCTGCTTCATTAAACTCCGGCGTTGCGGCGTGGCCACTGCGCGTGTGCGATGCCCGCCCTCGTGTGCCGCCTTTCGCCCCCTCAGTGAAGGAGGCTGTGTGACCTGAAAGCCAGGCTGGAGACCTTTTTTCCCCCTTGCCCCGTGACTGAATTGACTCTCTTGGCATGCAGTGTCTCCAGTTTGCGTTTTTCGTTACGGTTTGCGGATCGCAAGCGCAGGCCCCAGAGGCCCCAAACGTGCGAAGCGGGCGGCCAGCAAACAAGCGGCGCCCATTGAAGGTGTAACGGATGAGAGTCGATGCGTTTCTTTAATTAAGCAAGGTTATTGTGAGAGCTTGGGAAACGAGATGATGGGGGGGGAATTCCAATCGGAGGTGGAGCTGTGCGAGGGAAGAATCGGAAAGAGAAGTGAGGTGACCTACAGTGTGGTTAGAGAGTAAATAAATACAGTGCGTGGTTGTGTGGGTGAGTGAGTGAGTAGGTGAGTGTGTTGTTGTGACCTGCAGTGTGTGGTGGTGGCTGAACAAAGTATGGATGAGATGAAAAAGTGAGTCTGATAGACCCGAGTCCTCAACGTTATTATCCTTACTATTAATAATGATTATAAGTCTCGTGGGTGGGGGAATCGGTGAGCGCAGTTCACAGAAAAGCAGCCGTGGGTGTAGCGATAGAACGTGACAACAACAAACACTACAAAAACACGATAGCAGTGCAAAGTACAAGAAAGGTAAATAAATCACCCACAACACATGCAAATACAGATAAACCATGCCCATCCTCTTCCAGGCAAAGCCCACTGAGGTATTAAATACTTTTTCGGAAGCCACCTGGCCACCACAAATGATAGCTCAACAAAGTGGCCGATCATTTGGACATTTAGCGCAGCAAAATAATCTGAACGCATGTTTCTAAATGTGGAGGGGAAAACTGGAGGACTCGGAGAAAAAATCCACGTGATCACATACATTTGTAACATTTGACATTTTTATTTTAAAGCTTTCGTGACTGCAGTAATTCATATTCTTAGCTCTTTCGGTAAAGTCACGTTGAAGGGAAACAATAAAATAATAAAATATATATAAACCAATAAAAAAATGCTCACGACATTTCGACCATAACACAAACGGTCGTCATCAGGTGTGTCGGTTTGCATAAATGTATTTTTTTTGTAAGCCATCTGGCTACCATGAGAGATTCGTTCATGAGGCTATCCACATACAAGCACAGAGACAATTTCAACCGAGAAGATGGATTCTGGCTTAGCAATCATTGGAAAGATTTGATAAACCATTTCAGGTCTTAATTGATTGTTCACGCTTACGGTGGCTTTCAGACAGCATACATTAATTTTTCATCTCCCCCCTCCTCTTTTCAGAACATAGATGGACTCGTCCTTCTAAATAAATTGTCAAATCGCTGCGCGTGGCGCTGACGTTTTTTTTATAAATAAATAAATACACCGTTTGAAAATAAATACATTTATGCAAACCGACACACCTGATGACGACCGTTTGTGTTATGGTCGAAACGTCGTGAGAATTTTTTTATTGTTTTATATATATTTTATTGTTTCCCTTCAACGTGACTTTACCGAAAGAGCTAAGAATATTTGACATTTTTGTTTTTACGATCGAGAACCAAAGTGGGGGGGGTGGGGTGCAAGGCTGCGGTAAAGGTTAAGAACCACTGGACTCTAATTAAATGAAGAACTGACTGACTATGCAGCAGAAGCGGCGAAGACGCACGGCGGCGTTGCTGCTGATGTTGTTGCTGCTCACACAGTGAGTTGTTGTTGTTGTTGCTCACACAGTGAGTTGTTGTTATTGTTCACACAGTGAGTTGTTGTTGTTGCTCACACAGTGAGTTGTTGTTGTTGCTCACACAGTGAGTTGTTGCTCACACAGTGAGTTGTTGTTGTTGTTGCTCACACAGTGAGTTGTTGTTGTTGCTCACACAGTGAGTTGTTGTTGTTGCTCACACAGTGAGTTGTTGTTGCTCACACAGTGAGTTGTTGCTCACACAGTGAGTTGTTGTTGTTGCTCACACAGTGAGTTGTTGTTGTTGCTCACACAGTGAGTTGTTGTTGCTGCTCACACAGTGAGTTGTGGTTGTTGCTCTCAGTGAGTTGTTGTTGTTGCTCACACAGTGAGTTGTTGTTCACACAGTGAGTTGTTGTTGCTCACACAGTGAGTTGTTGTTGTTGCTCACACAGTGAGTTGTTGTTGTTGCTCACACAGTGAGTTGTTGTTGTTGCACACACAGTGAGTTGTTGTTGCTCACACAGTGAGTTGTTGTTGTTGCTCACACAGTGAGTTGTTGTTGTTGCTCACACAGTTGTTGTTGTTGCTCACACAGTTGTTGTTGTTGCTCACACAGTGAGTTGTTGTTGCTCACACAGTGAGTTGTTGTTGCTCACACAGTTGTTGTTGCTCACACAGTGAGTTGTTGCTCACACAGTGAGTTGTTGTTGTTCACACAGTGAGTTGTTGTTGCTCACACAGTGAGTTGTTGTTGTTCACACAGTGAGTTGTTGTTGTTCACACAGTGAGTTGTTGCTCACACAGTGAGTTGTTGTTGCTCACACAGTGAGTTGTTGTTGCTCACACAGTGAGTTGTTGTTGTTGCTCACACAGTGAGTTGTTGTTGTTGCTCACACAGTGAGTTGTTGTTGTTGCTCACACAGTGAATTGTTGTTGCTCACACAGTGAGTTGTTGTTGCTCACACAGTTAGTTGTTGTTGCTCACACAGTGAGTTGTTGTTCACACAGTGAGTTGTTGTTGTTGCTCACACAGTGAGTTGTTGTTGTTGCTCACACAGTGAGTTGTTGTTGCTCACACAGTGAGTTGTTGTTGTTGCCCACACAGTGAGTTGTTGCTCACACAGTGAGTTGTTGTTACTGCTCACACAGTGAGTTGTTGTTGTTGCTCACACAGTGAGTTGTTGTTGTTGCTCACACAGTGAGTTGTTGTTGTTGCTCACACAGTGAGTTGTTGTTGCGTGGTTGCTCCGTGCATGGAGTGCGACTCGGAGCCACCTCTGCCCCCCGGTGGCTCTGAGGGGATGAGGGTGAGGGCCTCCAGCCACATTCCCCACTGCTTTAAGAGAACGCGCTGCGTCTCCCCCCCCACCACCTCCGTAGACCGTGTTCGACACGCAACATGCAGAGGGCGGCAAGACGGCCCCGGCCGGCACGGCGGGCGGCGACCCCTCCAAGCGGCTGTCGGTGGAGCGGATCTACCAGAAGAAGACGCAGCTGGAGCACATCTTGCTGCGGCCCGACACCTACATCGGCTCCATAGAGCCCACCACCCAGGTGTGCGCCGGCGACCAAGCATCGGCGGCTCCATGCCCTGCGTTGATGCTAAACTAAAACCAAACAATTTGTTTTGTTATTTTACCAGGTAAGGCCCACTAAGCCACTGCAGAGTTATTTTTGAGAAGTGACCTGGCTATCACAAATGATGTCCCAACCAAGTGGGCTTGTCGTCACGTGGAATTGTATCGAAGCCAAATACTTTAAATGTGGAGGGAAAAACCGGAGGACCCGGAGGAAAATCCACACGACCACGGGGAAAACACGCAAATGTACAGGCGTCAGGGTCAGGATCAAACCCACGACCTCCCGTATACAAGGCGAGTTAGTTAACGTCTCGCCACCGTGACGCTTATTGTACTGCCGTGCAGGCACTTGGAGGATGCTCTTTGTAGCGGTATATATGGATTATACATTTGCAATGATCAAATAGTTACGGCTGGCTTATGTCGAGCGGACTGCAATTTAAGAACTTTTAAGCACAAAAGCGGGACGGAAAAATGTGAAATACAACCGCACAGTTAATGGCGGACTGACATTGCGATTATGTCACTGCGTTAAAATTGGCACTTGTGTCGTGAAGCGTGTAATGTCGCGCAAGGCTTGGTCGTGACGGGAGTTGTGCGTGTGTGCATGGCGGGGTTGTCGGTAAGCGGTTGGCCTTGTGGCTGTCTCCTCACACAGAACATGTGGATTTTCGACGAGGACCTGGGACTCAATAATCGAGAGATCACCTTCGTCCCGGGCCTCTACAAGATCTTCGATGAGATTCTCGGTGTGTGTGTGTGTGTGCGTGCACCTTGCCTGGCACAGGCGCCATGGTGACGTCACTGTCACTTGGTGGTGAATGGCGGTATTGGTATTCGTGTGCGGTGGGGAGTTGGCGGTGTAGCGGTTAGCGTGTCGTGCCATGAACCTGGCGATCCAAGTTCGATTCCCACTCATGGCCAACACCAGTGATGATTATCTGAGCAGTCCTGGGCCTCCCTTAGGTCCACTCATACTGAAGTGAGTACCTGGAGAGGTGTGTAAACATCGCCACCCACCCCCTCATGTGCCGTGCCGGCCTTCATAGGTGCTCTCTGACAGCACTTGCCCCAACAGTCTGTTAAGGCTATAGGGGGGATCTTTGTGTGTGTGGTAGACGTCATCATGTCTCTTACTTGCTTATTTGTCACTCGTTCGATAAATCGCTCGCATACTCGACAACTCGCTCACTTGTGTACGCGTATCGCTCACTCATTCATCGCTTGCTCGCTCATTTGCCACTCGCTGTCATGCCAACTGATACATTCGCAATTTTTCATGGTCATCTGCCCTAGGCGATTTTCTCTGTTGGGAATTTGATATTTAGCTCTGACTTAACGTTAATTCATGTTTGTGCAATAATTTTGATTCCTCGTTTGATCGTGTTTTTGTGTAAATCAATTGGACACAACGAAAACGTATAACTCACACCCACTCTCATCTCACTCGCCTGTATACACATCATTGGCCACACTCGAGCTATCCCCTAAGCCGCTCACTCGCTCGTTATCAGGCGATAAACTGTGTGGGTGCAGCAAATGAGCAAGAGCGACCTCCATTCAAGCAGCAGTCGACCGGGGGTTTGGGGGGGGTTTCCTTAAGAATCCCGGCGAAAGTGGTCGTTTGAGAGAGCTGTTTAAAAAAAAAAAGCGTTATCTCTCGGTCCCGTGATGAAGAACGTCGCACGCGCAGAGGAGCGCGCGCGGTTTACTCTGATCCGTGTCTCTTCCAGTGAACGCTGCCGACAACAAACAGAGGGACAAGAACATGACGTGCATCAAGATTACAATCGAACCGTAAGATGCCCTTCATATACACTAGAGATGTGCTCCCGATTTTTGTGACACTTGTACTCCAAAAAAAAATATCAGTCGGGCCTACATTGAAATGTCCGATGATCCCAAATGTAAATGTGTTACCGTGACATTGGTGCCGCGACCCTTTGGTTGTGCGTTTAAGTGTGCGCGCGTTGCACGTCTGCTGACCGGCTCAATTCACCACCAACAACAACAGCAACGGCCGCCATTCGCTACCAAAGTGGTGGTGACATCACCGTGACGCTTCTGCCAGACGAGGTGCACTGTTGATGTGCGCCACGTGAAGTGCGGAAGGCCCTGGCTGCTGGCAGGAGGTCACGGGACAGACCCAGGTGTTGTGGGTTAACTGACTGACAGATGACTGACAGATGATGCACCACCTGTCCCCGCCCCCCCCCACTGTGCCCTGTACACAAAGACAAAACAAAGATCCCTCATGTAGCCTTAGCAGGCTGTTGGGGCAAGTGCTATTAGCAAGCACCGAATAAAAGCACACGAGGGGGTGTGTGGTCAATACCACACCCAGACGCCTTTGTCTCCCCAGTGTTGATAATTACACACCGCACCAGTTGCTATTTCGAGGCTGAGTCCACCTAGGTGAGACCCAAGTACCAATTCAGATTTTCGTCACCTATGTTGGCCTTGAGCGTCAATCGAACTCGGGTGGCCGGGTTCGTGGCGCAGTGCGCTAACAACTGTGCCGCTCCCTTGCACACGTGCATGTACACGCACGCACACGGCAGGGAGACCAACACCGTGAGCGTGTGGAACAACGGGAAGGGCATCCCCGTGGTGGAGCACAAGGTGGAGAAGATGTTCGTCCCAGCGCTGATCTTCGGCGAGCTCCTCACCTCCAGCAACTACAATGACGAAGAGAGGAAGGTCACAGGTAGGTGGGGAGGGGGGAAGAGCCTGCAGCGTGTCGCCCCCCCCGTGACACCGGGCGGTCGCGGGGGTGGGCTGCCCTAGCAAATCAACTTTCCATTCATAAAACGCCGTTATTTCCAACAAAACCAAACTCGGCCATTTTCAGCCGGATAGCAAATTTCCGTCTTCAGTTAAACCGTCGTCGTCGTTATCATCTCTCTATTTTTTTGTCGTCGCCCGCTTGTGTTCTTCAATTCTGACCATCGTCGCTCTCTTCCTGCCAGGTGGGAGGAACGGCTACGGCGCAAAGCTCTGCAACATCTTCAGCAAGAAGTTCACGGTGGAGACGGCCTGCAAGGAGTCCAAGAAGCAGTTCAAGCAGGTGCCGGGAGCATCACCACTGCCGCTACCCGCTCTCGTGCCACACACCCACAGTGCCTCTGCTTCCTCTCAGTGCCAGTCTTGGTGTTGGTTGTGGGTCTGTGTTCTCGCGTTGGCTAGCGCACGCACTTCGCATGAGAAGTGAATTGCCTGCAGCTCTTTTTCTTTTGGCATGGCCTGGCATGGGTCCATTTTGTATTTACGTGTTAATATTCAAGTGAGGCGTACACATTTGTGCATTTTTGTTTTTGCTGTCACTGGTAGGGTCTAAAGTGTGGCTCTTTAGTCCACCAGATGCGGCTGTTTAATCCACCACGTGTGGCTCTTTAATCCACCTAATGTGGCTCGTTAATCCACCACACGTGCGGCTCTTTAATCCACCACGTTTGGCTCTTTAATCCACCTAATGTGGCTCTTTAATCCACCACATGTGGCTCTTTAATCCACCTAATGTGGCTCGTTAATCCACCACGTGTGGCTCTTTAATCCCCCTAATGTGGCTCTTTAAGCCACCACATGTGGCTCTTTAATCCACCACATGTGGCTCTTTAATCCACCTAATGTGGCTCGTTAATCCACCACGTGTGGCTCTTTAATCCACCACATGTAGCACGTTGTTCCACCACACGCGCGGCTCTATCGAAGCGGCATAACGTAGAACGCACTGTCACAGCACAGAACAATGATTGTCTCCCGTGCTGTGCCGAAAACTGTCAATATATATACACACTTATGTATACACACACTTGGCTCTTGCAGAACTCACGGGGGTACTCTTTTGCTCTTGATCAGTTACAGGTTAGCCACCCCTGGTCTAAAGTATTGATGTTGACGATGAGAGACCTGTCAGGCTGTCGTTGTCTAGAGACCCCGTCGGGGAAGGGTCTATCTCTCGTTGCCTAATAACTCATCCGTCGGTTGGCACGATTTCTTCACTCAGACGTGGACCGAGAACATGGGCAAGTCGAGCGACTCCAAGATCCGCTATTTCGACGGCAGCGACTTCACGTGCGTGACCTTCCAGCCCGACCTTGACAAGTTCGGCATGAGCAGCCTGGACAAGGACATCGTGGCGCTGATGACGCGCCGCGCCTACGACATCGCCGGCTCGTGCAAGGGCGTCAAGGTGTTCCTCAATGGCAAGAAGCTGCCCGTGAGTTTACACGACAATGGGGCGCCGGGGGGGGGGAGGGGGGGCGGCTTCGGGGGCTTAGGGTGAGGTGGGAGGGTTTGGGGGCCACTCCTAAACCACACCGATGATTTACTGACCTGGATCCACATCGTTGATCTCTTGTTCTCCAAGTAATTGATAAGTCTGCTCTGTTTGTCTGTCTGTCAGTGTGTCATTGTCTATAGACACCATCAGAGATTGGTCTGACTCGTATTATCTACAGGCATCATCAGAGACCGCTCTGTCTGTCTGCCAATGTCTCAACTCCATCAGAGGACTGTGGCAGTATTTGGGGGAAACGCAGACGAATCGGTCTTCACTCAAGTTAAACAGTTATGGGAATTCGTTATTATTGTTGAACAAGAGTTAGTTTAAATTCCATTTCTGTTCATCGTTAGCCCTTTATTGTAAGTGTTTTTACTGTAAAGCAAGCGTAAAAGATTGACATTCGATTTTGAAATTTTCGATTTTTTTTGCCAAGCTAAATCCACTTTTGTTGTCGCCAAGTTTCACATGAACCCAGGGGGTGTATACATTTTTATTTTCAGTCCAAATTGACCCCTAGCCAATCCGGCCACCTTAGCATTTCCCCTCCTGGCAAATCGGCCGCAAGGTGATTTCCACCTCCGCGTTAGTGATGCCGTTTTCTCGTTACACCGCACAAGTGCCGTCCATCGATTTGAGCGCAAACGTATGTCTTTCTCTTGCAGCGTACAACAGCTTGTGTCGCTGGCAGGTGAGGGTGTGCGCGCGTCCCTGCGATGGGTTGTGAGCACTTCTCTCTCTCTCTCTTCGTTTGAGCACTGCTGGGCTCAGAGCACTTGGGCAAGGGTCACTCTTTGTGTGTGAACACTCGCTCTGTGTGTGTTGGTCCTGGGCCTCCCCTACGTCGCCTCACCCACGAGTACCCGGCACGGTGTGTAGTAAACCTAGTCACCAGGGAGACAAAGGCGTCCGGCCCGGCGTAGCGCTGGTCACCAACCACGTCGAGTGCCGTGCCGGCCTTCGTAGACGCCACTCGCTAACAGCACTTGCCCCAACAGTCTGTTACAGGCTATAAGGGGGATCTTTGTGTTGTGAGCAGTGTTGGGTATCTCACTTGTGCTGGAGAGAAACTTTTTAGGTCTTTGGAGTAAAACTCACCCTCTTAATTTTTACGCAGTGTGAGCGAAGTGCAACATCGCATTTAAGTTACGAGTCATTTCAAATATATTTTAAATAAAACATCGCTGAGTGTGTGAGATGTAAACGTTGCACACCATGCATTGTTTTTTTTTACGTGTAAAACGGCCAGCGCTGTGGATGTAGGCACGCCTTGAGTGTGACCTCACTCAGCTCATCACAGCTGGGTGTGTAAAGCACCTGTGGTTTGCACTCTTTATCAGCTGTGAGCACGTTCAGTTGGGTGTAAATTGATGTTGTTGTTCGGTGTTGAGGGTGGTGGTGGAAGGGGCGTGGCGGCGGTGCAGTGGTCAGCGCCCCGAGCTACGAACCCGGCAAGCCGAGTTCGAGTCCCGCTCGCGGCACCGACACGAGTGGCGAATTATCGAAAAGAAACGGTCCTGGGCCTTGTCCCCCATGTTTGCTCGGCAATAAATGACCACCTTTGGTGCGAGCGTGCAGGTGACCGGCTTTCGCAGCTACGTGGACATGTACATGAAGGACAAGGTGGACGAGACGGGCAACATACTCAAGGTGGTGCACGAGGTGGTGGGCGAGCGCTGGGAGGTTTGTCTCACCGCTAGCGACAAGGGCTTCCAGCAAGTCAGCTTCGTCAACAGCATCGCCACCACCAAGGTACAGCGGAGCTACGCGCGGTGACTCCGCAACCACCGCCACCACTGGCACCATCGCTATCGCCGGTACCATCACCGCCACTGCAGATGCACTCGCATCGTCGGCATTACCACAAACGTTTCCGTTGAACGCGATCATCATCACCAGCGTCACCTCTGCCACTGTGACCACAACCGTGACCCCACTCCCTTCGTGAACGTGGCCTCTGGCAGCAGTATTACCACTGGCCAGCTTGACGACCGCTATTGCCACCTCCTTTGTTAACGGTACCATCCGCATTACCATCGTCGCCATCATTGGTACCTCCTTCATGAACACTACTTAATGTTACGTATCACCACCGTGACAACTCTGTCAATACATAATGTGAAAGCCTACGTGTTAAACAAACTCTTTCACAAACACCACCAACTTTACTAGTGCCATTACCTCCTGCATCATTCACTCTACCATCATCGCCGTCAGCATTAGCACCACCACCAATGAAGTTAGCACCGGCAAACTTGCCCAAGTGTGCCGTGGTCTACTTGCACCTGTACCTAACTCTTTAGTGGCGCCTCTTGCTCTCGTATTATATTTGCACGGTTTTTTTTCAATCCATGTGTTTCGTGTACGACCATTAATTCCTCTCAATGCTCTGATGGTGCGCTGTTTTTGAGTTGTACGCCTTTTGGCGTCATCTGGTCCAACACCAGTGGAGACTAGGCTCTAAGAAAAGCCGTCTCGGGTGTGGACCAATCAAATTCAAGGACAGTACATATCATTATCAGAGTTGTCTTTTTTGTTTGCATTTTGACTGCTTGTGTTGTGGTTATTGCAAACATGATTCCTTGTATAGAGGTATCAGTTTTTGTGCCAGATAAAAGGGTGAAATCTATTACTATATCTTGTTACTGGCAACGGAGGTCTCATAACATTAATTCCTCGTTTATTGGTTGTGCGATATTCCTTCAGTACCCTCTGCAATGTCGATATTTTTGTCGTTGCTGTTATAGTTTTGGTTCTTTCGGTAAAGTCACGTAGAAGGGAAACAATAAAATAATACAAATTAAAAAAACCAATAAAATTCTCACGACGTTTCGACTGCAACCCAGCAATCAGCATCAGGTGTGAAAACCACAGCAAGAAGATTTTCTTGATGATGATTGCTTGTGTTGCAGTCGAAACGTCGTGGGAATTTTATTGTTTTTTATATTTTTATTATTTTATTGTTTCCCTTCTACGTGGTGACTTTACCGAAAGAACCAAGAATATGAATCCCTGCAGTCAGGAAAGCTTTAAATACAAATTTAAGTTGTTCCTGTTGTTGCTGTGCTCACGCAGCACTGCGGATCTCCCGTGGTAAATATCAGGGCAACTTGGGGCTCCGTCGGACATCATTCGCATAATGGCTAAATTTGACCATCGGTGTAACAAAGCAGATTGATTTAAACTTATCGCCCGTACGATGTTGTCTCCTCCTCCTCTCCCCCCCACCCCTGCTGCTGCCGTTCCCCCCCCCCTCCCCACATCAGGGCGGCCGCCACGTCGACTACGTGGCCGACCAGGTTGTCGCTAAACTCATCGAGGTCGTCAAGAAAAAGAACAAGGCTGGGGTGCTTGTGAAGCCCTTCCAGGTGAGCACGCCGCTCCCACCCCGCTCCCACCCTGCTCCCACCCCGCTCCCACCCCGCTCCCACCCTGCTCCCACCCCGCTCCCACCCCGCTCCCACCCTGCTTCCACCCCGCTCCCACCCTGCTCCCACGCCGCTCCCACCCTGCTACCACCCTGCTCCCACTCTGCTCCCACTCCGCTCCCACCCTGCTCCCATGCCGCTCCCACCCTGCTTCCACCCCGCTCCCACCCTGCTCCCACGCCGCTCCCACCCTGCTACCACCCTGCTCCTACTCTGCTCCCACTCCGCTCCCACCCTGCTCCCACGCCGCTTCCACTCCGCTCCCACCCTGCTCCCACCCCACTCCCACCCCGCTCCCACCCTGCTCCCACCCCGCTCCCACCCTGCTCCCACTCTGCTCCCATGCCGCTCCCACCCTGCTTCCACCATGCTCCCACGCCGCTCCCACCCTGCTCCCACCCTGCTCCCATGCCGCTCCCACCCTGCTTCCACCCCGCTCCCACCCTGCTCCCACTCTGCTCCCACGCCGCTCCCACCCTGCTCCCACCCTGCTCCCACCCCGCTCCCACCCTGCTCCCACCCCGCTCCCACCCTGCTCCCACGCCGCTCCCACCCTGCTCCCACCCTGCTCCCACTCTGCTCCCACTCCGCTCCCACGCCGCTCCCACGCCGCTTCCACTCCGCTCCCACCCTGCTCCCACCCTGCTCCCACCCCGCTCCCACCCTGCTCCCACCCCGCTCCCACCCCGCTCCCACCCCGCTCCCACCCTGCTCCCATGCCGCTCCCACGCCGCTCCCACCCTGCTCCCACTCCGCTCCCACCCTGCTCCCACCCCGCTCCCACCCCGCTCCCATGCCGCTTCCACTCCGCTCCCACCCTGCTCCCTCCCCGCTCCCACCCTGCTCCCACGCCACTCCCACGCCGCTTCCACTCCGCTCCCACCCTGCTCCCACCCCGCTCCCACCCCGCTCCCACCCCGCTCCCACCCCGCTCCCACGCCGCTTCCACTCCGCTCCCACCCTGCTTCCACCCCGCTCCCACGCCGCTCCCACCCTGCTCCCACCCCGCTCCCACCCCGCTCCCCCCTGGTCTGGTACCTGCACACGAGTGTTCACCTACTCTTCTTGTTTTTTGTTTGCCCCGGTGGCGAGATGTGAACTACCTCTCCTGGCATGGAGGAGGTTGTGGGTTTGTTCCCCACCCTGACGCCTGCTGTACATTTGGAGTTTGCGTGTCTCTCTCTCTCCCCCTGGTTGCATGTATTAATCTCTGGGTCCTCTGGGTTTTCCCTCCACATTTAGTTAGTATTTGACTGCTATAACTTTCCATGTGATAAGTCCACTTCGTTGAGCTATCATTCGTGATAGCTAGGTCGCTTCTGAAAAAGAGCTACATAGCTCAGTCGGCCTTACCTGGTAAAATAAAAAATTGTTTAATAGTTTAGTTTGTTCTGGATGATGGCAAAGAAAATGGCACGCCGCTGAATATGGAGCGGCAGTGGCTACCTCCCATGTGTGTGCGTGAGCCAGCGCATGCCTCTGTGTTTGACTGTATAACTGTGTGTGTGTGATTGTTTGTACGTGTGCCTGTTGGCGTGCATGTTCCTGTGTGTATATATGCCTGTGTGTGTGCCTTTGTGCATTTGTGTGTCTTTGTGCACGTGCGTGCATGTATGCCCTTGTGACTGTTTGTGTGCACCTATGCCCGTGTGCCTCTGTCTTTGCGACTGCGTGTGTCTATGCCTATGTGCCTGTGCATGTGTGTATGTGTGAATGGCTGTGTGTGACTTTGTTCCTGCGTGTGCATCTACGTGTGCCTGCGTGCCGCTGTGTGCAGGTTAAGAACCACATCTGGCTTTTTGTGAACTGCCTGGTGGAGAATCCGACCTTCGACTCCCAGACCAAGGAGAACATGACTCTGCAGCACAAGCGTTTTGGCTCGACGTGCCAACTCTCGGAGAAGTTCACCAAGGCGGTGAGCCCGGCTCGCTCGCTCGCTCACTCGCACGCGTGCGCCCGTTTGTGCTTGTGTGTGTGTGTGCTGCCCCATGGGAGCGGTAGTGTAGCGGTTAGTGCTGCGCTACGAACTCGGCGGCCCGAGTTCGATTCTCGCTCACAGCCAACACCAGTGACGATTATCTCAAATGAGTACCTGGTGCGGTGTGTAAACATTGCCACTAGGGAGACAAAGGCGGCCGGGCATGGTGTGGGCCACCCACCCCTTGGTGTGCTGTACTGGCCTCTATAGGTGCCCGCTAATAGCACTTGCCCCAAAAGTCTGTTCAAGCTTTATGGGGGGTCTTTGTTGTGCTGCCCCTGTGGGGAGCGATGGTGTAATGGTTATCATGCTGTGCTACGAATGAGTACCTGGTGCGATGTGTAAACATCGCTACTTATGGCAGTCGGGCGTGTTGCTGGCCACCCACCTCATGTGCTCTGCTAGCCTTCGTGAGGTGCTCGCTAACAGCACTCTCTCCAAACGTCTGTTAAGTCTATAAGGAGGATCTTTGTTTCACCTCTGCCCACACCAAGCGGTCGCCAAAAGGGTCACATTAGTTGTCTGTAGCATCACTTTCTCTCTGCTACTGCTCTTACTCAGACCTAGAAATCATTGTTATCTGGAGTTAGGCCTACTTCTAAATAGGTAGCTTCTAAATAAACAGTGGCAGACAGATGGACGGGTTGTCCGATGGGGGTCCGTAGACAATGATGGCAGCCTCTTCTATTCGCTCACCGCTGCCGTCGTTCTCGCGTCTTCTTTTCACGCAGGCCACCAACTGCGGCATAGTGGAGAGCATCCTGAACTGGGTGAAGTTCAAGGCTCAGACTCAGCTCAACAAGAAGTGCTCCTCCGTGAAGCACTCCAAGCTGCGGGGCATCCCCAAACTGGATGACGCCAACGATGCCGGCGAGTGTCCACACCCTCACCGCTTACCCCCCCCATACTTCTTTGTGTCAGCGGAGAGTGGTATCTGAGCCGGTCCCGGGGCACCCACGGTGGTGAGATGTTAACTACCTCGCCTGGAATTTTTATTGAAAGCTTTCATGACTACAGGGATTCATATTCTTGGTTCTTTCGGTAAAGTCACGTAGAAGGGAAACAATAAAATAATAAAAATATAAAACAATAAATTTCTCACGACTATTTCGACTGCAACACAAGCAATCATCATCAGGTGTGAAAACCACAGCAAGAAAATTTTAAAAAAGTGGCGTTTTTTTAACGTTAGCACCCTTCTACGTGACTTTACCTCGCCTGGTATACGGGAGGTCGTGGGTTTAAACCCGACCCTGACGCCTGCTCTATATTTGGAGTTTGCATGTTCGCCCTGTGAAAATCTATACGTGCGAGTGTGTGTGAAAATGTCTGTACGTGCGTGCTTGCGTGAATATGTGCGCGCGTGTGTGAATGTCTACGTGTGTGCGAATGTCCGTACGTGCGTGTGTGTGTGTAAACGTACGCGCGTCTGCGGTCATCGTGCAGGAGGGCGCAACTCCCAGAGCTGCACGCTCATCCTGACAGAGGGCGACTCGGCCAAGACTCTGGCCGTGTCGGGGCTGAGTGTGGTTGGGCGCGACCGCTACGGAGTCTTCCCCCTGCGCGGCAAGATGCTCAACGTCCGCGAAGCGTCGCACAAACAGGTTCTGCTCGATCGCTCGCTCGTTCCCAATCGAACGCTCGCTCCAGAGACTGGTCCACTCCGTTGTACACTCTCAGTTGTCTCGTCTCTCTCCTCCTGTGATTTACCTTCCACGCTGAGAATCTCTTCTGTTTGTCCCCACGAGACATTTGCCCGTGACCTCATTCATCCATCCGTCACGCGTCGTCAGCGAAGGACCGTTGCGCCAAAACGTTTGACCCCTCGCGACGACATTTTCTTTCATTTCTCTTGCTGCCATACACCGGTGTCTCGAGTGATTTGTTTTGATCCACGTATCACAGGGGGGCGACCACAGGGGTGGGGCCCTTTGAAAGTCGCAGTCCTCATTTCGAACGTTGACCGCCAACCAGAGTGCGCGCAATTTGCTTTGAGACGGGGAGACGTGTCCACAAAGTGACGGCAGTATCTCTCGTTTTTTTCTTTCTCAGATCATGGAGAACCAGGAGATCAACAGCATCATCAAGATCATGGGCCTGCAGTACAAGAAGAGCTATGAGGATGCCGAGTCCCTGCGCTCGCTCCGCTACGGCAAGCTCATGATCATGACCGATCAGGTGAGCTGCCACCATGGGTCACTCGGCCCAGCGTCGAAACGCTAGAGAGGGTCAAAGTTTAAACTGAAAAGTTGAAGATTTTGAACTCTTTACCCGGCCGGGTGGCTCATCGGCAGAGTGAGTGGCCCGCGTTAGAAAGGTCACGAGTTCAATTCCTGGCTTGAGGGAGGTTGACTCAGCCCATCCTCGTCCCTGGGGTCGATAGAATAGGTACTACTTTGTGGGCAAGCGGTTTGCCTGTGGTTAGACTCGCCTCTGTCACAGGTACGTGGAATTTCCCCCCCTCACCCGCTGACTGGGGTGTGAACAGAAGATGCTTCGTGTGAGCAGGAAGTCGCTCTTGGCTCGTTGGCGCAGAGGCAGACGGCCTTTTTTTCTTTTCTCGCCATCTAGGACCAGGACGGCTCCCACATAAAGGGGCTCCTCATCAACTTCATCCATCACAACTGGCCCTCGCTGCTCAAGCACCACTTCCTGGAGGAGTTCATCACGCCGCTGGTCAAGGTAGGTGGGTGCGCGACGTTTGTGTGATCGCGTGGACGCGTGGGTTATTGTTGTCCTAGTAATATTTGCGCACTTTCAGGGGCGCTCGCTTAAATGCCTTGGCAGCTCAAAGCGCCTTCAATCACATTTCGTAGAAATGTAAATCAACATTTATAACAGGCAGTTCACAAAAAGCCAGATGCGGTTCTTCACCTGCACACAGAGGCACACAGGCACACATAGATGCACACGCAGGAACAGAGTCACACACAGCCATTCACACATACACACATGCACAGGCAGACTAATTAAAATTACTATCAACCTTTTTCTTCCGTTTCCATTCCAATGATGTACATGTACATCATGACGTAGAGTACATCATGGGAATGAAATTGGAAGAAAAACTAAAATAAAATAACTTAATTGGCACCGAGGCTTCCACAAGGTCATGCGGGAAGGCGTGTGTGGCACAGTTTGGTGCCAGCTATCGTAGAGTGCGGTCGTGTCCTTACAGTTCTCTGCGGTGAGTACAGTGTCTTTTAAAAACTGCGCTACTACGCCTCTCTAAATAAAATTCACGCCGAACCGCTCGCGCGTTCCAACACTCATCGGTGAACGGGTACAGCCACACCCTGCAACTAGCAGACGTCTCGGAGTGGGCGAGGGTTAAATAGCAATAATAATCATCAGACCTTGGTGAATTGACCGAGCCACGTGGCCCCACTCGTTCGCTCGGTCTCCCACCGCCACCTCTCCTTCCCCACCGCCCCCCCCCCCTTAAATGCAGGTGACCAAAAACAAGCAGGAGCTGCCCTTCTACAGCCTGCCTGAGTTCGAGGAGTGGAAGAAGGGCTCGGAGCTCAACAAGACCTGGAGAGTGAAGTACTACAAAGGTCTGAAGGACTCGCTGCCACCCCCGCTACACTTGTTCTCATGCTATGTACATTATTATGCATTATACAGTAGGACTCTCGATTATCCACGTGCGGTTTATCCGATTTGTGGATTAACCGCGTACCTAACATTTTTATGTAAATTAATAACTCGTGGATTTTCCATTAAGCACCAAATTAATAATCTTAAAACAGTTCTACTTTTATTCTTGTAAATGTTTATTACAAGTCACGTGCTTAAACCGAACAAATATGTTGTTACGGTTAATCCGAAATCCACGTGATCGCCTCTACAGTACAATAGTTGCATATATTTACAACAGTGTGCGGAGTTTGATTGATGTTTATTGACGTGGCTCCAATGCTGTCCACGTGGTGGACGTAAGTATTAATTCTAAATCGAAAGAGTAACAATCAAAATCATCAGTTGTGCTTCGGTTTGAGTTAAATTTACGAAACTGTGTGGTGGCAGAGACACTTAAACATAATTTCCACCTATATTCGTGGTGTCTTTTGGAGATCAGGCGGAAAATGTATAATTTTGGATTATCCTTGATTTTGAATTATCCGCGGCCGTCCTCCCCGTCATTAGCGCGAATAATCGAGTCTTACGGTGTATAATGTTTTAAACGTGGCACGCCACGCGTGGAAATGTGCAGAAAGAGTCAGGGGTGTAACAATGCGTGGGGAAATAGAGAACGAAATGAATGGGAAAGGAGGCCGGGACGGAAGTCCCCAAGACGGACAAAGAGGAGAAGGGCACGGCTCAAGATGAGCAGCAGGGAGAGTGAAGGAGGAGGGGGTGCGTGTGGGTGCAGGAAGGCGAGTAGGAGGGGAAGATGGAATGACCGAGCCAAGATATCTGGGATGGATGGATGATGATGAGAGTGGAGGAATGAGAGGGAGAAGAGAGAAGGAAGGAGCGAGTAGACGTGAGCTGCGGTGCGTTGCTTCGACGGGGGCGATGGGGAGAGGAGAGGGATTGAGAGTGGGGGGTCCCCACACAGACAGAACTTACGTGATTTGCAGGCGGCTCGAGCTGACTAAGATATTAAGAGATGTACTTAAGATGCTTGTTTACCCAGGAAGAACTCACTGAGTCTCAGAAAACTTTCAGGAGGGTCCTGCCAAACGTTCACAGGAGAGGGTAACGAATCTGAGTGTTTCACAATTAAGCATTTTGTGAATATTTTTTTCGGATATTGGCCAAAATTGGACTGTGATGCTGGCACACAATGGCCTATTATTTGTGGGGAAAAAAACCACCAGATCTATCATGTCAACAGCGAAGTAGAAGGCACTTAGTATCTGACTGATAATGCACCCGCAGTATTAACCAGGGCGGACTGCCAGATTCGAACCGTGAGCCTCTGCAGCAATCGGGGAACGCGCGGTTCTGGCTCTCGGTGTCATTGTGGCAATGGCCATTATAAACCACCATTGTCCCCCCCCCCCCCCCGCCAGGTCTGGGCACGAGCACGGCGAAGGAGGCGAAGGAATATTTTGCGGAGATGGAGCGGCACCGCATCCCCTTCCGCTACATCGGCACCGAGGATGACAACGCCATCACTCTGGTGTGACCCTCGCTCGGCTGCTCGCTTGCTAGCTCGGACGCTTGCTCATTCACTCACCCGCTCGCCCACTTATTAGCTTCCTTATTCACTTGCTTGCTCACTTCTTCATGTGCCTATCTACTCGATCACTTACTCACACGAACGCTCACACACTCGCTTGCTCCCTCGTTAACTCATTCACTCACTCGCCCGCACACTCTCCCACTCATTAGCTCCTTTGTTCGCTCACTCGCTCTCCCCTCGCTCGCTTACGAGTTCGTAATAGCGATCCTTGAAGTACGATTCAGATTTATAATACCAGAAAACAGTGATGGTGGGCAGCTCTAGTATCGTTGAAAACTCAACACGTATGTCATGTTTCGGGAAAAATGGCCATAAATTTACTTGCTATGAAGAAGGGGCATTACCCAAAACATTGCCTCTTATATACATTTTATTTTTTTAAGTGTTGTTGACGAATGTGTAAAGTTTTTTTTGTAAAATTTTACTTATGCAGCAGGCACCCTCACCAGTTAATTTGTTGAACTCTTAGAGATAGCTGTCCACTTTATAACCTGGGATTTGGCAGAAGGAAGGAAGCAATGGCGAGCTGTAGAGGCGTCAATAATTAAAATGATTATCAAAACTAATCTATCCAAGAGAGGCACACTGAGTCCCAGGACTCTGCGACATTGGGTGTTTTCGTGACTGCAGGGATTCATCTTCTGGGTTCTTTCGGTAAAGTCACGTAGAATGGAGATAAAATAATAATAACAATAAAATTCTCATGACGTTTCGGCCACAACACAAGTAGCTTTCCTCAGGTGAAGAAACAGGACTGTCCGGAAGACAGCGCTTGAGTGAACCCTGCCAAGCTTAACAGCGTATTTTAAGCTGTGTGGGAGGAACAGAGCGCCTTGACAAAGGAGTTTACATATAAATTAGCATGTAACTGGGGGATTAGCATGATGTTGGTGTGAGGGATGAGCACCACGGAGAGCGACGAGCTCGGACCGGAGGAGGGGGGAGAGGAGTTTACATATAAATTATCATGTAACTGGGGGATTAGCATGATGTTGGTGTGAGGGATTAGCACTACGGAGAGCGACGAGCTGTACATAAAATCCGTGATCTGGTTCCGTCTGTAAAAGATGTGGTTCCAGACATACAGTACCCGGGCGTTTACAAACTAAGTTGCCTCTGCGGTAGCAGCTACATTGGAGAAACCAAACGACATATCTCGGACCGCATCCGTGAACATAAAGCAGACTTGAAACACGGTAGGATGAACACCTCAGCCGTGGCAGACCACTGTTATAATTCAGTGGGCTCACGTGACATTGACTTCTCCAAGACAGAGGTTCTCTGCAAGCCATCCGGCTACCATGAGAGATTCGTTCATGAGGCTATCCACATATACAAACACAGGCAATTTCAACCGAGAAGATGGATTCTGGCTTAGTAACCATTGGAAAGACGTTATAAACCATTTCGGTTCTTGATTGATTGTATTTTACGGTGACTTTCAGACCGCAGTCCATTCGCTGGCACTGCCTATTAGTACCTTTCACACGACGGTCAATAGTATAGTTCATAGCATTTTGTATAATAATAAATAGTATAACAGTGTAATGTTTAACATAATTCATAAGGCAATATATAGTACCGTAATTGTATAGTGAATATACAGCAGTGTGGTATACAGTAGGGTTGGTAGAATAATACATAGTGTAATACTACAAGTCTAATATTTTATAGTCTAAAGTATAGGGTAGTGTATAGTAACGCATTGTATAATTCAAGGGTGGGGTTTGTCTATGGATACGATATTATACAATGTAGTTTAGATTGGAAGGTATAATATTGTAATGTATAGTAGTCCAGTTTATAGCATAGTTATAACGCAACACAGGACAGAGCAGCGCACCGTGGCCGTTTCCTCCTCTTCCTCCCCCTCCTTCATTCCGAACATAGATGTACTCGTCCGTCTGAACAAAGCTCGTCGCTCTTCGTGGTGTTAATCCCTCATACTAACATCATGCTAATCCTCCTGTTACATGCTAATTTACTGTTGATATGTAAACTCCTCTCCCCCCTCCTCCGTTCCATACATAGATGCACTCGTCCGTCTGAACAAAGCTCGTCGCTCTCCGTGGTGCTAATTCCTCACACCAACATCATGCTAATCCCACAGTTACATGATAATTTATATGTAAACTCCTCTTCCCCCCTCCTCCGGTCCGAGCTCGTCGCTCTCCGTGGTGCTCATCCCTCACACCAACATCATGCTAATCCCCCAGTTACATGATAATTTATATGTAAACTCCTTTGTCAAGGCGCTCTGTTCCTCCCACACAGCTTAAAATACGCTGTCAAGCTTGGCAGGGTTCACTCAAGCGCTGTCTTCCGGACAGTCCTGTTTCTTCACCTGAGGAAAGCTACTTGTGTTGTGGCCGAAACGTCGTGAGAATTTTATTCTGTTATTATTTTTATTATTTTATCTCCATTCTACGTGACTTTACCGAAAGAACCCAGAAGATTGGGTGTTTTATTTGAAGATGTTTTTGGGCAATTGTGTTTATGCACGTGGGGAGGAAAACGGAGCACCCGGGGAAAACTCCACGCATGCTCATGAGGGGAGTGTGGGGTGGGGGCGACGGGGGGCGACACGCTACCCTGGTACGGATGGAAATAGATGGACGGAGACTGGTCGATGCTATTGGCTGTGGTGACCTCTTGACCTTAACCGCTGTAATTGCACCCCGTCGTGATTCGCTGTCTTGGCTCTTTTTGTCCCCCACTTGCCTCCCCCTCCCCCGCCCACCGTAGGCGTTCAGCAAGAAGAAAGTCGACGACCGTAAAGAGTGGCTCACCAACTGGATGGAGGATCGCAGGCAGAGGCGGTTGCACGGGCTGCCCGAGGTGGGGACGGGCCAGTGCTCGTGTCAATTTTCTCAGGTTGATTTTGTTGAACAGCCAGGGCTGAGAACTCGAGAGGCCGGGATGAGAGTGATGACCTGGGTCAACAAGAGAATTACAAATGAAGAAGCGGATTATTAAATGGAGTGCAGCGACAAAGCCAGTCAAAATCAGTGCAAAAGCGAGCTGTGTTGCTTTGGGCAAAGTCAGCTCGGGCAGATTGTTTTTCGACTGGTCACAGCACTTTTACAAAATTAAGTCACGGAAACATTAAACGCATATAGGGTAACGGTTTGCCTTTTGGCTTTCTCTTGCCTGGCACTGGGTGAGACTAGGCCGTAAAGAGGGCTTTGTCTGGTGTAGGCCAATCAGTTTCAAAGACAATGCATATGTAGTGACTAAATCGGAGATGATAAAACTTGGAGACTCTTATTTATTAACGAGCACTATCGGGGTTAACACATTTAATATTTAGTCCGTCTATTATCGGCGACGCTACTTAGTTAAAACAGTTGGTAGGCTGTCTGACTCGCGGCACCCCGAGATGGTAGAGATGGAGGCGACGACGAGAAGGACGGTGACGATGGACTTGAGCAGCACGACGGGGATCCCACTCCTAACAAGAGCCCCCACAGGGGCCCCTCTTATACTGTCAGCGTGGCCTCGCTCTGCCCCCGGCCGCGTCCCCGTTCTGGAACCTACCAGCGGGTTCCTGGTGGGCCCCTTCTGTTACCTCTCCCCTCTAGATCCCCCTCTCGTGTATATCCTGGCCTGCTGACGTCAGAACTGCCGTACGCCGCGGATCCCCTTTTCTTTCAGCAGCCAGAGCTGTGCCACGACACATTATCAGCGCATGTTTGTTTGCATGTTCAACACCAGTAGGTGTGGTTAATGCAGTGCTTGATTCCTTGCAAAAGGTCTCTTGGTGTTTGAACATCTTAACACCTCTTGTTGTATTGCCACAAGGGGTAAAACCTATTCTTATTTTTTTCATCGGGCGACTGTTGTTCATGTATGCCAACAGACACAGATATATACGATGTCAAATGCAAATGCAGGTGAAATGTTACCATTGTAAGAATTGACGAATTGGCATTAAACTGTCATTTAGTTTTGGAGGGAAAGCGAGGATATTTTTTTCAAAGCGACGGAACTCCGGGTGTCTGGGGGGCATTAATTTGAGAACGATCCGGGTGTCTGGGGGGCATTAATTTGAGAACGATCCCCGCCGCGTGACCGTCTCGCGCAGCAATTCCTGTACGGCAAGGAGACCAAGTACCTGACCTACAACGACTTCATCAACAAGGAGCTCATCCTCTTCTCCAACTCCGACAACGAGCGCTCCATCCCTTCGCTGGTTGACGGTGCGTGGCTGTGGGCCTTGAGCGGGTGGGGGTGTGGGGTGGCGCCTTGGTCTACAACAACAACAATCACCACGGCGCTTGTGCCAGGCTAGGTGCACTTTAAGGCTACGTGTGTCGAACGCCCGCTGCCAGGAGGTCACGGGAACGACCCAGGTGCCATGGATTGACTGACTGAGATGACTGGCCGATGCACCACCTGTGCCCCCCCTACTGTGCCAACGTGGTCCACGCACGCACGCACGCATACTGGCACGTGTGTATAATGACCAGTTGGCCTGTCGCTGCATGTGCACCACGTATTTAATTGTATGCCTTCTATTGCCTCAAATCAACAAGGGGAGTTGAACCGATTGAAGACCCGCCCTTCCTGTTTAGGCCCCACCCTTTCCTGTCTCGGCCACGCCTTTCGTGAGTGATAGCCAAGTCGCTTCTGTAAAAAGAGCTACCAAAGCTCAGGGGGCCTTACCTGGTAAAATTAAAAAGAGTTTAGTTTAATATAGTGTTGTTTTCATTGTGTGCCTCTACCCCGACCCCCGTCTCCTCCCCGTGCAGGGTTAAAACCCGGGCAGAGGAAGGTCCTCTTCACCTGCTTCAAGCGCAACGACAAGCGCGAGGTGAAGGTGGCGCAGCTCGCCGGCTCTGTGGCCGAGATGTCGGCTTACCATCACGGAGAGGTGAGCCGTGGGAAAAACATTGAAGGCGGAACAACCTCCCCAGCCCCGCTCCCCCCTCGTCCTCCTGTCACACCAATGACTCTTGTTTCCCCTGCATGTCTGGGACTACCTCTCCCTCCTTCTTCCCTTACCACCCAGATAAAAGCACATGGCTCCCCGACGCGATTCCTTTGTGTGAAAGAGGCGATTGATGTTTGCCATCCCGTACACCCACGGTTAAATTCCCCCGCCTTATATCGACCGGTCGCGTCGGGTCTGAGGGCCCCCAAGTTTGTCCCCGTCTGGTTTTCCTGTCACCTAAAGCGTTGTTACGGGCCTATGTTGTTGTTGTTTCATAAAATCCTCTTTAAAAATGAAAAAACGAAGCAACCTTTGCAGGTTCTTGGTTACAGGAACGTGGAATTGCCAACATTCCCTCCGGCGGCTGCCAGCAGAGGCGGGCGCTCGCGTGGCCGTTTAACCACCATCTGACATGGGCCGACGTTGTTATCCTCCTCCGCGTTTTGTCGTCTTTGGCAGCAATCGCTGATGATGACCATCATCAACCTGGCGCAAAACTTCGTGGGCAGCAACAACGTGAACCTCCTGCAGCCCATCGGGCAGTTCGGCACTCGCCTCCACGGTGGCAAGGACGCCGCCAGCCCCCGTTACATCTTCACCATGCTCAGGTGACCGCCACTGCCGTCACCGCTCTCCTCCACTCCCACCACTCCCCCCTCTGCTGCCTCTCTCTTCACTCTTACCACTTCCACTCCTGCCTCCTTCTCTGCTTCCACCACTCTCTCTCTCCACTCCCACCATTCCCTCTCTCTCCGCTCTCACTGCTCTGTCTCTCCACCCCCGCAATTTCCTCTCTCCACTCCCACCACTCTCTCTGCATGTGTTGTAGGTCTTACACTTGCATGTGTTGTGTGTAATTTGCATTATAAATTTACCCAATTGGCATTACACAGCAGCAATCATCGCCCTCCCTACTGGCAGACTAATGCAAATGAGACTCATCCAGGTCGCTTTGAGTTCTCACCCCGGTTTTGATCTTCCACGAAGCTCATGGTCCACCCTAAACCGCATCCACTGCACAAACCATGACAAGATTAAAAACTCTCAAGTAGTGTGGGACTGTGGTCATCCAGAACGGACCGCACAATGTGTACCTACGCAACGCCCCAATCCACAAATATGAAAGAGACATCACAGCGATGTACTACTTTGCTGCTCCTTATGCGCTCGTCTGGCTTGATCACCTGAATGTGAAATTGTGGTTGCCGTGCGTGTACATCAGCCGTACGGAAGAATAAGATCTGGCTAAACAAAATTAAACTTGACCAGTAGCTACTGGATCTGTTGAGTCTTGTGTGTTACACACTCTGTGTGTGTTACGAGCGTCAAGGAGCGTAAACCAATCACGCAAACTCGGTCATCCTCGCAGCTGGCAGCGGCTTTTGGCTGGCCATCGAACAAAGGCGGTCGCTGCATCGCGCGCTTTCAGATGCGCTTCCGCGGCCGTCTGGAATGCTCTTCTTTCCGATGTTAGGAAGCCACTGGAGCTATGCACTTTTAGATTTGCTATATTGAAAACTAATTTATTTACAACTGCTTTTTGTGTTTAGTTGTGTTGTCATTTCCCCACACCTCCGATTATCACGGTTGGCTACATTGTAACCGCCGCCGCTTCCGCCACCGGTTCTTCTGCCGCACCCCTACAGCCCGCTGGCACGCATGCTGTACCCGGCCGTGGACGACAACCTGCTGCGCTTCCTGTGGGATGACAACCAGCGCGTGGAGCCCGAGTGGTATTGCCCCATCATCCCGCTGGTGCTGGTGAACGGCGCCGACGGCATCGGCACGGGCTGGGCCTCGAGGATCCTCAACTACGACACGCGGGAGATCGTCAACAACATCCGGCGCATGCTCGACGGAGAAGAACCCCTGCTCATGGTGAGGACGGCCGTGTTTTTTTTTTCTTTTCTCTCAACGGCGCAACCGAGCTGCACCGGGGCCACCGCCCAGTCAGCGGTGGCGATGTGAGACTACCAGCGACGTGAGACTACCAGCGATGTGAGACTACCAGTGATGTGAGACTACCAGTGATGTGAGACTGCCAGCGATGTGAGACTACCAGTGATGTGAGACTACCAGTGATGTGAGACTACCAGTGATGTGAGACTACCAGTGATGTGAGACTACCAGTGATGTGAGACTACCAGTGATGTGAGACTACCAGTGATGTGAGACTACCAGTGATGTGAGACTACCAGTGATGTGAGACTACCAGTGATGTGAGACTACCAGTGATGTGAGACTACCAGTGATGTGAGACTACCAGTGATGTGAGACTACCAGTGATGTGAGACTACCAGTGATGTGAGACTACCAGTGATGTGAGACTACCAGTGATGTGAGCCTACCAGTGATGTGAGGCTACCAGCGACGTGAGACTACCAGCGTTGTGAGACTACCAGCGATGTGAGACTACCAGTGATGTGAGACTACCAGCGATGTGAGACTACCCGTGATGTGAGACTACCAGTGATGTGAGACTACCATTGATGTGAGACTACCAGTGATGTGAGACTACCAGTGATGTGAGACTACCAGTGATGTGAGACTACCAGCGACGTGAGACTACCAGTGACGTGAGACTACCAGCGATGTGAGACTACCAGCGTTGTGAGACTACCAGTGATGTGAGACTACCAGTGATGTGAGACTACCAGTGATGTGAGATGTGAGACTACCAGCGATGTGAGACTAGCAGTGATTTTGATTTAAAGCTTTCGTGACTGCAGTAATTCATATTCTTAGTTCTTTCGGTAAAGTCACGTTGAAGGGAAACAATAAAATAATAAAATATATATAAAACAATAAAAATTCTCACGACGTTTCGACCATAACACAGTCGTCATCAGGTGTGTCGGTTTGCATAAATTTATTTATTTTAAACGGTGTATTTATTTATTTAAAAAAAAGATCTCCAAAATCTTGAATAAACACAAGATCCAGGTCCGTTTCAACACATTACATAAAATCCGTGATCTGGTTCCGTCTGTAAAAGATGTGATTCTGGACATACAATACCCTGGTGTCTACAAACTAAGTTGCCTCTGTGGTAGTAGTTACATTGGAGAAACCAAACGCCATGTCTCGGACCGCATTCGTGAACACAAAGCAGACCTTAAACACGGTAGGACCAACACCTCGGCCGTGGCAGATCATTGTTATAATTCAGTAGGCTCACATGACGTTGACTTTTCCAAGACAGAGGTTCTTTGTAAGCCATCTGGCTACCATGAGAGATTCATTCATGAGGCTATCCACATATACAAGCACAGAGACAATTTCAACCGAGAAGATGGATTCTGGCTTAGCAATCATTGGAAAGATTTGATAAACCATTTCAGGTCTTAATTGATTGTTCAAGCTTACAGTGGCTTTCTGACAGCATACATTAAATTTTTCGTCTCCCCCCTCCTCTTACAGTGGCTTTCTGACAGCATACATTAAATTTTTCGTCTCCCCCCTCCTCTTTTCAGAACATAGATGGACTAGTCCTTCTAAATAAACTGCTAAATCACTGCGCGTGGCGCTAACGGTTTTTTATAAATAAATAAACCGTTGAAAAATAAATAAATTTATGCAAACCGACACACCTGATGACGCCCGTTTGTGTTATGGTCGAAACTTCGTGATAATTTTTATTGTTTTATATATTTTATTATTTTATTGTTTCCCTTCAACGTGACTTTACCGAAAGAACTAAGATTATACTACCAGTGATGTGAGACTGCCAGTGATGTGAGACTACCAGTGATGTGAGACTACCAGCGATGTGAGACCACCAGTGATGTGAGACTACCAGCGTTGTGAGACTACCAGTGATGTGAGACTACCAGTGATGTGAGACTACCAGCGATGTGAGACTACCAGTGATGTGAGACTACCAGCGATGTGAGACTACCAGTGATGTGAGACTACCAGTGATGTGAGACTACCAGTGATGTGAGATTACCAGTGATGTGAGACTACCAGTGATGTGAGACTACCAGCGATGTGAGACTACCAGCGTTGTGAGACTACCAGTGATGTGAGACTACCAGCGTTGTGAGACTACCAGCGATGTGAGACTACCAGCGATGTGAGACTACCAGCGATGTGAGACTACCAGCGTTGTGAGACTACCAGTGATGTGAGACTACCAGCGATGTGAGACTACCAGCGATGTGAGACTACCAGCGTTGTGAGACTACCAGCGTTGTGAGACTACCAGTGATGTGAGATGTGAGACTACCAGCGATGTGAGACTACCAGCGATGTGAGACTACCAGTGTTGTGAGACTACCAGTGATGTGAGACTACCAGCGATGTGAGGCTACCAGCGATGTGAGGCTACCAGTGATGTGAGACTACCAGTGATGTGAGACTACCAGTGTTGTGAGACTACCAGTGATGTGAGACTACCAGCGATGTGAGACTACCAGCGATGTGAGACTACCAGCGATGTGAGACTACCAGCAATGTGAGACTACCAGCGTTGTGAGACTGCCAGCGATGTGAAACCACCGGCATCGTGACACCACCGGCATTGTGAGACCACCGGCATTGTGAGACCACCGGCATTGTGAGACCACCGGCATTGTGAGACCACCGGCATTGTGAGACCACCGGCATTGTGACACCGCCGGCATTGTGAAACCACCGGCATTGTGAGACCACCGGCATTGTGAGACTGCCGAACCAGAGCCGTGCTGCTGACGCTCGACGCCCAGTGAAACGGGAGGGGATGCGCCCGTTGGTGACGGGGGGACACTGTGTTTTTGCGTTGGGACTGACTTAAATCACAGGCGATGGATTTGCTGGGTCATAAAACACGTGCCAGTGGGAAAGGAGTCTCTCACTTTGTTCGCCGGAGTGTTCATATCGGCCACAAAACACGGCCATACAGTTACCCACTCCTCTACCAACCAGCCAGCCTACCCGCCCCACGCACTCCTTCAGCTCGTCTCTGTCTTCAGCAAATCTCAACCGCTCGGTCCCACCTCAATGGCTCACCCAGCGAGTGAGCGAATGGTACTGCTCAGTGAGTAAGTGAGTGGTATTCCTCCAGTGAGTGAGGAGTGGTACTGCTCCAGTGACTAAGTGAGTGGTATTGCCTCAGTGACTAAGTGAGTGGTATTGCTCCAGTGAGTGAGGAGTGGTACTGCTCCAGTGACTAAGTGAGTGGTATTGCTCCAGTGAGTGAGGAGTGGTACTGCTCCAGTGACTGAGTGAGTGGTACTGCCCCGGTGAGCGAGGAGTGGTACTGCTCCAGTGAGTAAGTGAGTGGTATTGCTCCAGTGAGTGAGCGAATGGTACTGCTCCAGTGAGTAAGTGAGTGAGCGAATGGTACTGCTCCAGTGAGTAAGTGAGTGGTATCGCGCCAGTGAGTGTGAGGAGTGGTACTGCCCCAGTAAATGAGTGGTACTGCCCAGTGAGTAAGTGAGTGGTACTTCCCAGTGGGTTAATGAGTGGTACTGCCCAGTGAGTAAATGAGAGGTACTGCCCAGTGAGTGAGTGGTACTGTCCAGTGAGTAAGTGAGTGGTACTGCCCAGTGAGTAAATGAGTCGTACTGCCCAGTGGGTTAATGAGTGGTACTGCCCAGTGAGTAAATGAGTGGTACTGCCCAGTGAATGAGTGGTACTGCCCAGTGGGTGAGTGGTACTGCCTCAGTGAGTAAATGAGTGGTACTGCCCAGTGAGTAAATGAGTGGTACTGCCCAGTGAGTGAGTGAGTGGTACTGCCCAGTGAGTGAGAGGTACTGCCTCAGTGAGTAAATGAGTGGTACTGCCCAGTGAATAAATGAGTGGTACTGCTCAGTGAGTGAGTGAGTGGTACTGCCCAGTGAATAAATGAGTGGTACTGCCCAGTGAGTGAGTGAGTGGTACTGCCCAGTGAGTAAATGAGTGGTACTGCCCAGTGAGTGAGTGGTACTGCCCAGTGAGTAAATGAGTGGTACTGCCCAGTGGGTGAGTGAGAAAGAATGGTGCTGGACAAACCACCACCGGTGAAGGTGCCATGCCGGCCTTAACGAGCACTCACTGCGTGTATTTTCCTACACTGCGCCGGCGTATACGTCAGTCTCCACCACACTTTCTCCCGCATGCATAGAGCCACAAAAAAGCATTTTCCTGCTGGCACTCGAGACCGTTATCCACAGGCACCCGTGGGCCCCATGGTGTATCGAGAAGGACCCCGCCCTGCTTTGGCCACGTCATTTTTATCTCTCGCTTTGTGTCTGGTAACGACAGGGTCCCAGGTACAAGAACTTCAAGGGCACCATCGATGAACTGGGTCCCAACCAGTACCTGATGAGCGGGGAGGTGGCCGTGCTGGACTCCACCACGGTGGAGATCACGGAGCTTCCTGTGCGCACTTGGACACAGGTAACGCACACCTGGGACACGAGTACATTGCACCCTGGGTAAGAGGGAATAGGGATGCTTATACATAGGTGCAGGCATACTTGTGTAGTGAGTCGCAGACGTTGTCTTGGGAGCAACACTATTTATTTCACCAACTCATCATAACATAACACAACCTACACTTGGGTGTTGAATGCTCATCTAGCCACGCTACGGCAGAACTAGACACGGTTCGCTATCCCGGCCCGGACCACGAGCTGGGTCCCGAACCGCGTGGCTAGAGGCCTCTTTTACCTGACGTGGATCTTCATCACCAGCAACACGAAGAACCCCGAGCCCCTCACGGGGCCCCCATTATATCGGCCTGGGCTGGCTCCGCCCCTCGCCCCGCCCACCTTCTAGATCTCTCGAGCTCTTTCCCGAAGGCTCCCGAGAGCTCTTTTATACCACGTGACCGCCCAGCGGCTCCCGTCCACCGGTGGCCCCCCTCCAATATCATCCGGTCACGTGTCGGCAGGTCAACCAGCGTATCATGCCCCAAGGTAACCCTGGCTGGCTGACGCTCCCTCTCGCTCCCTCACCGGGAGCCCGCACCGCACACTGTGCGTGGTGCATCCGTGCGGTACTACGCCCAGTGAGCGGGCTACACGTAATGCCAACACATTATCCGCCGTGGCTTCGTAAGCCCGGCACCACACAGTGACATTCACAGTCACTACACTTGTACAGCTGGGCACACGGTGCAGTCATACTTGGACACGCACCTGAACTTGAGTACGGACGCCTATATTAATAGGTGTAGAACATTTAATGCACAGGTACAAACACTCTGATAACACTTGGACACCTGGTCGCAGGTACACATCTGGACACAGGTACCCACATTACTCAGGCAAGGTGCACACACACACACAAAGGTACAGACACCTGGGTACAGGTACCACATTGTGGGGAAGTCAACAGTGGTTTTTGTCCTATGGATAGACTCGCCCCCCCACAAAGGGGAATGTGGAATTTCCACCAATGGCTCTTGCAGGGCTGTAAACAGGAGATGAGTACCAATGCCTGAATCAATGCTCATTTGAGCAGGAGATCGCTTTGACCTTTATTGACATTGTAATACGAACTCCAATGTCGTCACACGGTGGTGGAGACGGCTGCGGCCCCCCCTGAGTGGTGCGTTTGTTTACCGTTGCTCAACCGCTTGTCCCCTGTGTCTTCTTCCGCCCTGCTCCCCCCCCCACCACCACGCGCAGGCATACAAGGAGACGGTCCTGGAGCCCATGCTGACGGGCACAGACAAGACGCCGCCGCTGATCTCCGACTACAAGGAGTACCACACGGACACCACCGTCAAGTTCGTGATCAGGATGAGCGAGGAGAAGCTCACGCAGGCCGAAGCCACCGGGCTCCACAAGGTCTTCAAGCTGCAGAGCTCAGCCACCTGCAACTCCATGGTGCGTGCCGGGACGGCGGCGCTGACGGCGCTGGCGGCGGTGCTGCTGCTGCTGCTAGGCAACTTGACGTTGATGGGCAGTGATGGATAGTAATGGGTGGTGCTGCTAGGCCACTTGACTGTGATGGGCAGTGATGGATAGTGATGGGTGATGCTGCTTGCCAACTTGACGGTGATGGGCGGTGATGGATAATGATGGGCAGTGATGCTGCTGCTAGGCAACTTGATAGTGATGGCCAGTGATGGATAGTCATAGGCGGTGATGGATAGTAATGGGCAGTGATGGATAGGATGGGCGGTGGTGCTGCTAGGCAACGAGACAGTGACGGGCAGTGATGGATAGTGATGGGCGGTCGACACGTGTCGACACACGTGTTTACACGTATTCTTGTGTTTACACGTGTGTCGACACACGTGTTTACACGTATTCTTGGTTATTTCGGTAAAGTCACGTTGAAGGGAAACAAAATAATATATATAAAACAATAAAATTCTCACGACGTTTCGACTGTAACACAAACAGTCATCATCAGGTCACACCTGATGATGACAGGTCACACCTGATGATGCCTGTTTGTGTTACAGTCGAAACGTCGTGAGAATTTTATTGGTTTATATTTATTTTATTATTTTATTGTTTCCCTTCAACGTGACTTTACCGAAAGAACCAAGAATATGAATCACTGCAGTCACAAAAGCTTTAAATCAGTGTTTACACGTGTCGACAAACGTGTTTACACGTGTCGACACACGTGTTTACACGTGTCGACGCCGGTCGATACACGTCTTTACACGTGTCGACGCCGGTCGACACGTGTCAATGCGTGTCGACACAAGTTTTTACACGCGTCACCGCGCGCAGGTTCTCTTTGACCACATGGGCTGCCTGCGGAAGTACGAGTCCGTGGCCGACATCCTGCGCGAGTTCTACGAGCTGCGCATCAAGTACTACAGCCTGCGCAAGGAGTGGCTGGAGGGCATGCTCCACGCCGAGTCCTCCAAGCTCAACAACCAGGCGCGCTTCATCCTCGAGAAGATCGAGGGCAAGATCACCATCGGTGAGCTCATAACTAAACAGAAAAACTCAGCCAGTTTTATTTTACCGGGTAAGGTCCCACTGAGCTATGTAGCTCTTGTTTTCAGAAGTGGCCTGGCTATCACAAACGATGGCCCCGTGAAGTGGCTCATCATCATCAAGTGGACATATATAGCAGCAGCCGCCAAATACTCTAAACGCGTAATGTCGATCCTGAATGTGGAGGGGAAAACGGAAGACCAGGAGAAAATTCTATGCGACCGCGGGGAGAGAGAGAGACACGCAAACGCCAAATATACAACACACGTCAGGGTCGGGATCGAACCCACGACCAGCTGGGGTTGTTGCCAAGAGGACAAATGTGATACGATACAAAACGTCGTCTGCGGTTTCCCCTTCCTAGTACTTCTTGAGTCGTTCTCTCTATCTCGAGAGCGAGTTGATACCGTGCTGCTGCTGCTGCGGCGGCGGCGTCACGTCATTGTTAATGTTTTCTGAAATTCAATTCAATTGTGCTATGATTAGTCGAATTGATCGTGACACAGCATTTCTTTGGCCTTTAGTTTGTTTGCCATTCCCCCTGCACCTCCGATAAGCACGGTTTAGACTGCTATGATCAGTCTAAAAATTATCTGCCTGAGCCAACTTAATCTTCAAACAATACATTATTTAACATTGATTTATGTTTGTCCAATAATTTCGAATTTTGATGTCCCAATACGGTCAACGTTGCGAATGAGACACCTCCTGGCCTCTTTGAGCTCTCGCCTAGTTAAAGAGAATCAACTGGAAACTTGAACTCACTCACTCATTGTCTCACTCAAATCAATTACCCACTCATTCACCATCTCACCCACCCAAGCACTCGGTCACTCGCTCAGTCACCCACTCATTCACTCCGCCGGCTCGTACATTAACGGACTCGAGTTTTGGTGACCCAAGTCCCTCTTGAAAGTGAGACTCTCCTCCTGGGGTGAAATAACATAAACGTTCAACTTTTATTTTGCGTGATTTAAACGTGGAAAACGTTCTGTCTCATCCCAACCCCCCCCCCCCCTCCAAACTTGCAGAAAACAAACCAAAGAAAGAGCTCATCCAGATGTTGCTGAAGCGCGGCTACGACTCGGACCCCATCAAGAACTGGAAAGACGCCCAGGAGAAGGTGCGGAGTTCAGACGCGAGCTGTGCGTGTGTACATTTTGTGTCTGTGTTTACGTGCATGTGTGTGTCTTGCTAACAGAACTTGCCCAAACAGTCTGTTAGGGCTATATAGGGGAGCGGTGGTGTGCTAGTGGCTAGCGCGCCGCGCTATTAACCCATCAACCCAATTAATATGTGACCGCTGCCTTTCTCATTGCTCCCTCTCTGACCGCCCCCTTGTAACGTTCTCACCCCGTGCCCCTACTGGACATCTGTGAAAAAGAGCTTCATAGCTCATCGGATTCCACCTCCAGTCTAAATAAACATCCTGATTCCGATGAAGATTCTGACTCTGACCACCCCTTTTCTGACCACCCCTTTCTGATCCGTCTCCCCTTCCTCACCACGCAGGCTGTGGACGGCGGCGGCGGTGGTGCTGACAGCGACAGCGACGCCTCTGACGCGGCCGGAGGCACTGGCCCCAACTTCAATTACATCCTCAACATGCCGCTGTGGAGCCTGTCGCGTGAACGCAAGGACGAGCTCGTGAAGCAGCGTGACATCAAGGTGCCTACCGCCCACCACCCACATCACCCCCCCCCCCCCGTCCACCACCCACCACCCCCCCAGTTCACTTCCCACTGCCCATCACCTACCGCCCACAGCCCACCACCCATCGCCCACCACTGTCCCGTCTACCGCCCACTGCCACCACCGCTGCTAGAGTTGCCCCTCTGAGCTCATCGTCGAATCAGATCGTCCGTGCATTCGACATCGGCGTCGTTCGTACAGGGCAATCACGAGGGGGCCATGTCACCACCCTGGTAAAATTTATCGCCGGATATTTTCTACTCTACTTGAGAAGGTGGCGCTTGACGGGTAGCCAGCAGGCCACAGTGAGAGGTATTCTGGATGTGGTGCGCCGGGTGCAAGCTTGATACTGCTCCATGGTTGCGTTCGGAGTCGGCGCTGGGAGCGAGAGTGTCAGCGTTACGGGACGTGGTCGTGTCTACGGGAAGCATCTCCCGTTTGCTAAAACTAAAACAGTTTTTTATTTCACCAGGTAAGGTCCACTGAGCCGTGTACAGCATACCTGTCAACGCATATGGTTTACCCGTATTCCTCCACAGGGAAATTGAGTTTTCTGGTTTCCTGGTCCATACGGCCACTGGCGGAGCCAGTGAGGGGGGTGGGGTGGCACGTGCCCCCCCAATGATCCGATCGAAATCCCTAATTTCGATCGGATCATTGGGGTTTATTAGTAATAAATGGGCATTTTGCGACCCCCACTGCCACTGTGTAGCATATTATTATGTTTTCGGACTCTATGAGATGATAGGACAATAGTCTGAGTCCATTATTGGCAATAAGTAACGGCAAAGCGGTTATAAGTGACTCACAGAATTGTGCGCAGTTGCGTATACAGTACACGACTTCCCTGAAGGCATTCACCTTCAGCGAGCACGATGCTGATCACATACTTTTCGAATTCGACCCTCGATCGATGGCTGCGCCATCGCCGCACATGCGTCGAATAAAAAGCAAGGGACAAGTCCTTACTTACTGACAACTCCTTTATCATTTTTCATTGCTGGAGGGGTTGCTCCCTCTACCTGAAAATCCTGGCTCCGCCATTGCATACGGCATACAACCGTTTCAAAACGGGCAACATTTTAAAAATAATTTTCGTCTGTTTGTGTTTCTCCCTTGTGGTGGGACTTTGTAGGATGAACGTTGAAAATTATAAGGGCACGGGGTGACCGATAAGGTCTGAATTGGTCTGTAATAAGGTAGGCACTGATAAAGGGCTTGACATGTATGGTTTAGCTCTTTTTCAAAAGCGACCTGGCTATCACAAATTACAGCTCAACGAAGTGGCTTATCATCATCATCATCCCGTGGAAATGAATAGCAGCAGCCAAATACTATAAACTCTGTGCTGCTTCAGGCCAAGGAGCTGTTGGAGCTGAAGCGGAAGAGTCCCTCGGAGCTGTGGAAGGAGGACCTGGCCACCTTCGTGGAGGAGCTGGACGTGAGTGGAGGCGCGGTCTTCAAAGCCACTGCCATAATAGCGGCAGCAACTAGCACCAACAGCTAGGACTGGAAGTGACACACCAGCGTCAGCATTAACCCTGATTTGTAGCATATTACAGGTGCTGCCGTGGTGTAATGGTCATCACACCAGACTTGATATCTAGAGTTTGCCTATCCTTTCTCTTTATATGACAGTTTTATTTAGGTTCTGCGGTATCCTTTCGGCATTGATCCATTCGCGGAATCGGCCAAAAACTCTCAATGCAGGACTCTTCCGGAAACGAGCCTTGAGACTCAAGTGAGGCTTGGCCTGGGCAAAGGACGTCATCATTATCGTAATTATTTATCAGGTAAACAAAAAAAACGAAACATTTTTATTTTACCAGGTAAGGCCCACTGAACTCTATACCTGTTTTTCAGACGCGACCTGGCCACAAATGATAGCTCAACGATGTGGCTTATCACGTGCAAATTTATAGCAGCCAAATACTCCAAACGCATGTTTCTAAATATGAAGAGAAAAAACTGGAGGACCCTGAGAAAAATCCAAGCGACCACGGGGAGAGAGACTCGCGAACTCCAAATATACAGCAGTTGTCAGGGTCGGGGATCCAACCCCGGACCTCCTGCTTACCCGGCGAGCTACTTTAACATCTCGCCACTGCGGTGCCCCCATTGTGACGTTGTTCACTACGGCTCGGGGATCGTAGTCGTCATCCCTCCGAGATGCCCTCTTCAAATAATTGCTCGTGCCGCGCTTTCGCCCTCCTCCCACTGCCCGCCGTCCTCCCTTGTTCCTGCCCCCCCCCCCCTCCTCCACCCCCCTCGCTCCGTGGGTCGACAGCGAGTGGAGGCCCAGGAGCGCGAGGAAGAGGTGAGCAGCATGTCCACCAAGGCCGTCAAGGGCAAGGTGGGCAAGCCCAAGATGAAGCGCCTGCAGCTGGAGGAGACGCAGCCGTCCCTGCACGGCCGCCGCGTTGTGCCGCAGGTCACGCTGGCCATGAAGGCCGAGGCCAGCAAGAAGTTGGGCCGCAAAAAGGTCAAGGTGAGGGCTTCACTCCTGCACCTCCCGCGCTTTCGCGCCGCACTGGCACTTCCGAGTGGTAAGCCGTGGTCGTCAACGTTGTTGGTAGGGCGTCCCCCCACCCACCAATCAGGACCACTGGTCCCTGGCACCCCGCCCAACCCACCACCCGCCACCCCCTACCCACTTCCAGTCCCAACACAAAACTAATTATTGACTAAGGCCACAATGCACAGAGAGGGCCAAAGAGACAAAAGAGTGAATCATGATAGTTACTGAGCATCATGGGGACCCTGGTCAGGGAGACACTTTGTGGACGTTTTTGTGTTTGGCAGACGGAGGGCGTCGATGGAACGCCGGTCAAGATGGAACCTGGCGAGGACGGTGGCGGCGGTGGCGGCGGTGGCGAAGACTCTGAGTCCCAGCCGCTCGTCCGGCGAACCGCCAAGCGGGCTCCCAAAACGGACAAGTCCGAGCCTGGTTTGTTTCCCTTCGCACTCTTTCCGCTCCGATCCTTTTCGACCGCTAGCAGCGGCTCGCTCGCCCGGCCAGCGAGCGCCGGCGCCGCCGCCGTGCCGGTGGAGCCGTGCCGCCGGGCACCGCCGTTCGGGACGAGTGGCGTGGCCCTGGTGTCACCGCGGCGATGCCTGCACCTGGCGCACGCGGCTCTGTCGGCGATCAAGGTGGCGGTGCGCTGAGAACTAGCGGGGGTGGTGGTGGTGGTGGTGGCCGATGGCATCAACCCAGAATCGCACGAAGTTGCGGTTTGGCGTTATGAATTCTCCGAGCAGCCAGGAAATACACCGAGTGCAATTCGTATACACTGTGTGTGTTAAGTTGCTTGATGTCTAAGTAACAGTTGCTCATGGTTGTCATTATCCCAAGTTGATACTTAAGGTCTGCCGCATACTGTGGTAATGTGCATTCATGTACATCTCTATCGCCATGGGATTCTTCGCCAGATGTGCAGAGCCTTACCCGCTAAGTCTGTCCGAGACGTGGCGAGGTTTCCTTGAATGAACTGCTGTTATTTATTTGTAAGCGTGCATACGTGTACGAGGCAATGGGGTACCCACTGTCGCACCGCGGACCGAATGGTTATGCGAAGAATTGCATCGGCGTAATTGGCCATCTTCTTTATCGACTGTTGGATAAAGTTTTCCGTTCACCCGTGAGGTTGTCTTCCTCTTGCGCGCCTGCCGTAGCTCCGTGGCAATAAAGGATGTTTATTCTCAATCTCTGCTGTCTTGGTCTCTGGTGCTTATGAAGGGAACAATAGAAATAAGTCAAAGAGGCTTCTTTTTAAACGAGAGCGGGGAAGTGTCACGGCGTCGTTAACCTTCCACAGCGAAGCAGGCGTTGCATATTGTTAGGGTTAATTGGAACCTGTAACTAGCGGTGACCGCGGTACCGCTGCGTGTGTGTGTGCGTGCGGTGTGTGCGTGCGTTGTATGTGTATGCGTGCGGTGTGTGTGTGCGTGCGGTGTGTGCGGTGTGTGTGTGTGCATGCGGTGTGTGTGTGCATGCGGTGTGTATGCGTGCGGTGTGCGTACATGCGTTGTGCGTGCGTGCGGTGTGTGTGTGCGTGCGGTGTGTGTGTGCGTGCGGTGTGTGTGTGTGTGCGGTGTGTGTGAGTGTGCGCGTGCGGTGAGTGTTTGTGTGGTGTGTGTGCGTGCGTGCGGTGTCTGCTCGTGGGCGGCGCTGTGTCTTGTAAACGACGGACGGGGGGGGGGGGAACGGCGCGCTGCTGTGTCGATGTCGTGCTGTGCCGTGCCGTTGCCGTGCTGCAGGCAGTAAGTCGGCGCGCAAGGGAACGGCGTCCAAGAAGCCCAAGAGGAACCCGTGGTCGGACTCGGACGGGAGCGATGACCTGGAAGACAAATCCGTCAGCGATGCGGACGACATGAGCATTGGCCTCGTGCCGCGGGAGAACGTCCCACGCCGGGCTGCCGGTAACCGCCTCTTCGTTCGTGGTCTCCCACTCTGAATTTGCCCCAGCGTAGTTTTGTGCTTATCCATTTCATGTTGCCATCTCCCTGCACCACCCCCCCCCCGTGTCTTTCCTTGCCCCCCTCCTCCCTCTCTGTTGCTCTCAAAAACGAATTCATGTCACCTGTCAGTGTGTGTGTGTGTGTCCATACTTGTCCGTGTGTGTATGTGTCCATACTCTCGGTGTGTGTATATGTGTGTGTGTCCATAGTCAAGGCCTATGATACCATCAGTAGGCCTAGGCTCTGGGTTGTTCTTCGTGCTTTTGGAGTACCTGACCCTTTGCTCACGATCATTAAGGACTTTCATGATGGTGAGCGGGCCCGGGTAAAACTACGTGGCCGGGAGTCAGAGCCATTCCCTGTACACCTTGGGGTGCGACAGGGATGTCCTCTGGCTCCCACATTATTTAACATCTATTTTGACCACGTAGTTCGTGAAGCCTTCAATAGCTGTACCGGTGGAATCTACATTTGGTACAGATATAATGGGAGGCTGATCGTTGCCCGGGTGCGGTCAAGGGATGACTCCCTATTGCTCAACCACGTTATGTATGCCGATGATTTGGTAATGGCTGCTCATTCAGAGGAGGAGTTGGAGACGCTGCTGCTGAGACTGGAGCGTGCCACTAAGAGATGGGGCCTTACCATCAGCCCCACCAAAACTAAGCACCTGCCTGGGTATTTTGTACCATCGGACACTCCACCCCCACAACTCCCAATCGGTGATGGGGCAGTTGTGGAGAGAGTGGAGAGTTTCCCATACCTGGGCAGTGTGCTTATGACCGGCTCCAGTTTAACAGCAGAGGTCTCACTCCGAATCAGTCGAGCGGCAATATCTTTTCATCGGTTGCGTAACGCTGTGTGGAAGCTACCTGGTCTGTCGCTCTGCACTAAGCTTCAGGTCTTCTCGGCCACGGTCATTCCCTGCCTTCTCTACGCTTGCGAAACGTGGACCCCCTTAATAGAACATCTTCGCCGGTTAGAAACATTTAGGCTAGCCTGCCTACGATCCATCCTGGGTTTAACCCGGCTGGATTGTGTGAGGAGCTCACAAATTCTTGAAAGATCTGGGCAAGGTCCCATCGGTGAGCTCCTCTGGCAGACAAGCCTGCGTTGGCTGGGTCATGTAGCACGCATGCCCAGCCACCGCATGCCCAAACAGCTTTTGTTCGGCCGGATCGAGGGGGCTAGACGGGCGCGGCAGATGCTAGAGAAGAGATGGAGTGATGTGGTACAGGAGGACGTGGAGCTGAGTGGACTTGCCGATAACTGGTACCAGCGGTGTCAAGATTGGCCTCTGTGGAGGAGGCTCGTGAAGGACACTACTGGGCAGTTGGAGGCAGTCGCCCTCCAACAACGGAGGGCGGAGGAGCGACGCTCACAACAACGAGCGGAGCGCTGGGTGGCTAAAGCACAGCAGGTTGGCACTGTAGGGGGCACAGGTGGTGCATCAGCCAGTCAGCGGTAGTGTAGCGACCCGGGTGCTGGCCACCTACCCCCTCGTGTGGCGTGCCGGCCTTCAAAGGTGCTCACTAACAGCACTTACCCCAATTGTCTGTTAAGGCTACACGGTAGAATCTTTGTTTTTTTTTGCGTCCTTGCTTACCCCCCTTCTCTGTACCACCGCACCCGCCCCGCCCCCCCCCGCCCCCCTGTGAAGCGATGAAGCCCAAGAAGTTCACGTTTGATTTCTCGGACGGGGATGACGAAGACGACGACGAGGTGGTGAGCAGCCCCCCGCGGAGGGTCCGCTCCAAGTCCCCCCCAAGCCCCGTGGCCAAGAAGAAGACCTCCTCCTTCGACTTCTCTGACAAGGAGGATGAGGACGACGTCGCTCTGCCTCCACCTCCTCCGCCGACCAAGGCCAAAGAGGCCGTCGATAAGTACGAGCGAGGGACATGAGCGGTCGCGCACGGGGGAGATGGCTGCACGTGTCCTGCCGTGGTGGTGGTGGTGGTAGCGGTGTTGATTCTGTGGGGGGAGAGTTGGCGTCGCGGTTAGCGCGCTACGCTACAGACCCGGCGACCCGAGTTCGATTCCCGCTCACGGCCAACACCAGTTGTCTCAACCGGTTCTGGGCTTCCCCTAGGTCGACTGGGCCTCAAATGAGTACCTGGTGCAGAGTATAAACATCGCCTCTCGGGATACAAAAGCGGCCGAGCGTGGTGCTGGTCACCCACCCCCCCCCCCCCCCCCCCCCCGTGTGCTGTACCGGCCTTCATACTAACAGCACTTTCCCCAACAGTCTGTTTAGGCTATATGTGGGACCTTCAGTTTTAGAGGTGATTCTGATGATTGGTTATGGTGACAACCATGATATTGGTAATGTATGTATATGTATGTTGAACTTCTTTCACACGTACGTAGCCAACCGTGCTAATCGGAGGTGCAGGGAAGCATCACAAACTAAACACAAAAAGTAGTCCTGAAGAAATTAGTTTTCAATGTAGATTTAAAAGTGCATAGCTCCAGAGGCTTCCTTACATCGGAACGAAGAGCGTTCCAGACGGCCGCGGAAGCGCATCTGAAAGCGCTCGATGCTGTTATCGTTTTTGTTCTATGGCTGAGCCAAAAACGCTGCTGCTGCTGCGAGGAGTTTGCGTGATGATGGTTTATGACTCCTTGACGAGAATGACGATGATGATGACGACATCGATGGTGGCAGTTTTGACGACTGCAGCAACAACAGCGGTGACCACGGTGTGTGCCGTAGGCGGGCGCCGGAGCCTCGCAAGGGCTGGAAGTCGACGGAGTTCGACTGGGACGAGGTGATGGGCACCCCCTCTCACCCGCCGCAGGCGCCCGCCGCTTCCGCCACGACCAGCAGCCCCGCCAAGCCCGGTAGCGCAGCAGTGCCCACCGCATCACTCCGTCCACAACAGAGTTCAATCATCAAACTCTTGAGATCGATCGGTCGACCGCTACATTCGTTCGCCGCGCCTAGTCGACAGAGGACGGTCGCGAGACCGCTTACTTAAGACGGCATCGGCAAAGGCTGCTCTTAAGTTGCTGTTGCGGTGCCCCGGGGGGTGTATCGCGTGGGCTCTGTGCGTCCGCGGGGGTGACCACGACAGGGGACTTGCGCCGGTCCTGTGTGGGGTCGTAGTCCACTTCGGGCATCGACCGCTGACTGAAGTCCCGTTGATGTGCCAGGGGCGTGGGGAGGGGAGCGTGGGAGGGGGGCGGCTTTGTGCATCGAGACAGCGGCGGGCAGCAACGTACCTGCGTAACGACGGCGCCCGTCTCCTCCGAATCAACTCGGCCTCAAATTACTACCGGGTGCGGTGTGTAAGCATCGCTTACTCGGGAGACAAAGGTGTCCGCGCGTGGCCGCTGGTCACCTCGTGTGCCGTGCCGTGCCGGCCTTCTTCATAGGTGCTCCTCGCTTAACAGCACTTGCCCCCCAGCAGTCTGTTGAGGCTGTCCAGTGTGATCTTTGCCTCATCCTGTATCGAGTCGTGAGCTGTGCTCGTCCGTTCGTTGCCCTCCCCCCCCCCCCCCCCGCCACCACCCTGCCCCCCTCCTCACCGGCAGCGTTGAGCAGCGACGACGAGAAACCTGCGAGCGCGGCCAGCCCCCTCGTCTCGTCGCACGCCTCCACCAAGCCGCCCGCCGCCGCCACCTTCCCCGCCAAGAAGCCAGCCGCGTCGAAAAAACAGTCCCCGGCCGCCAAAGACGGTGAGGGTGGGGGGTGGAAAGGGGAGGGGGAGGTGGAGAATGAATGAATGAAGGATGGTGAGGTTGGAGCGAGGGAAGGGGAGAAGTGGGGAATGAATGAATGAAGGACGGTGAGGCTGGAGTGAGGGAAGGGGTGAGGTGAGGAGTGAATGACTGAATTGACTCATCTCTCACAAGTGGTGGTGGATTTGATGCCGCTGTGTACGTGTTCGTCGGGGATCCGATTCAAAATGATTGGAACAGCCCCGGGGAAATCGCCATCGCCCGTCGTCTTTACGCCCTGCCCTCTGAGTCGGGTTCACAGTGTCTCCGTTCTCCCGCGAGCGTGGCTTGGCCCTGCCGCACGCTCCCCGTCACGCGCTGCGTTGCTGCGTCTATTAAGACGGACGGGTTTTATTTATTTGACTTATTTATCCCGGTCAGGGGACAAAGCCAAGAAGAAGCCCAGCGCCAAGTCCAAGAAGCCGCTGAGCATGGACTCGGACAACGACAGCGACGAGGTCGCCTCCTCGCGCAAGCCGGCGCCGGCCGCCAAGGGTGAGCAACCGCCCGGCAAGCCTCGTGTCTCCCCCGTGTCTCCCCCGTGTCTCCCCCGTGTCCCCCGCGTGTCCCCCGCGTGTCCCCTGCGTGTCCCCTGCGTGTGTGTCTATGCCTCCCCCTGCGTGTGTCCCTGCCGATCTCCGCTAGTCCCCATGGGCCCCGCTGTTCATCCACGTGCCCCTTGCGTCTCCGCACGCGTGCACCTCCTTGCGTCTCCGCACGCGTGCACCTCCTTGCGTTTCACCACTGCCTCCGACTCCACTTCCCTTGTGTCTCCGCCCCGCGGCAGGCAAGGGTGGCGGCAGCAGGAAGAGGAAGGTGGCTGCCTCCGACTCGGAGAAGTCTGACGGGGAGTACAGCCCGCAGAAGAAGGTGACGGCCAAGGCCGCCACCGCCCTCTCCGCGGCGACTGGCAAGGCCGGCAGAGGGGCCGCCGGAGGCAGCAAGGTGAGGCAGCCGTTACCGGCCATCACGCTCTGCAGCCGTGGCTACGGTCGCCACATGCTCGCCGTTACCGCTGCAAGGCTCTCTATACCGTTAACGCGCACGACACGCGCCCCGACACACCACGGTGAAACACACCACCACGAGCAACAAACACCGGGCACACACCCATAACGCCGACGCACTGCTCATCGTAAAACCGTGTCGGCGCTGCGGACTGTAACACGGTGGACCTTGTCGTGTCGTCTCGCCGGCGGCAGAAGGGCAAGAAGGCGGTCGTGTCGGACGACGAGGGCTCGGCAGGCGTGGACAGCGACGACGGGGTAGGGGCCGGGGCCAAGGGAGCGGGGGCCGGAGCCAAGGGGGGCGGCTCATCGAGGGGCGCCCAGCAGAGGGAGCGCCCGGGGCGCGCGCGCAAGCAGGTGAAGTACTGCGAGGCCTCGGACGACGACGACAACGACGATGACTTCTTGGGCTGAAACGTGGGACCCCCCCCCCCGCTCCCGCGTCCATCACCCTCCCCCCCCCCCACCGCCCACTTCGCCCCCCCCTGCCGGCCGCCCAGCCAAGTGTTCGTCCGGGAGAGATTGGTGGGTGCCAGTCCACTCGTTGATGTCCTTTTTGCAAAAAAAAAAAATTATTATAAATCCGGGTCGTGGAGGGAGAAGATGTGTGTCTGTAAGCGTGCGTGCCAGCGTTATGTCGCGCCGCGCCAATGGGTTCGGGGTTGGGTTTCAGGACGAGGTGTGAGCGTAAGTGATTGCGTGCGTGTGTGTGTGCGGGTTCAGCCAGCAGTATTAGTGATTGGATTAGTGTTAGGGTGTAGAGATTGGATGCGTGTTACGGTTTAGAGATGGATTAATGTTCGGGATAGAGTTTGGTTGAGGCTTAGGCGAGTGGTTTTGGGAAGCGTGATACGTGTTGGGGTTGGAGTTTATTGTCATGGTTAGTGCTACAGTAAGAGTCAGGGTTATAGTTAATGTTAGGGATATAGTATGGTGGGGGTGAATTTTCGGCTTAGCGTTAGCGGCTCCAGGTACGTTTGGAGATTGGGATAGAATTGGGATGAGTGTTTGAGAGTTCTAATTATAATCGTGTTTAAACTAGTGTTGGGGTTATAGTCGCGGGTGGCGTTTGTGTTCACATTCACGTAGGAGCCTGGGGTATACATCATAGACCAGCGAGCTGCTGGGTGAAAATGGGGAAAGAGGAAGGCGGAGGAGGAGAGATTAAGCGAGAGCCCACGGCCGGTCCGCCGAACTGCAGGGTGCGGGTTGAACCCCCTGCCGTGTGTCCCGCAGCGCACCGCTCACCGTGGCCAGCGTTGACTTACTTCAGAGCCGTCCTTGTGTGGCTGCCGCCGCTCTCACACGCACCCTTGGGTTCGAAGCCAGGTTCAAGTTTTATTTTTTATTTTGTTTAACCAGTTGAGCACTCGAGAGAACGAGGTGCTGTCTCATTTGCAAGCGTGACCCAGGACATTAAGTCTGCCAGGCCGGGCGACGATTGAGTAAATTACGGCATAAGATTTTTAGTTTTTTTAAATGTGGACTTTTGACTCCTGCGCACTGTAAAGCAGATGGCGCGTGGTGTTATTACTGTGGCTAAATGCGCAGCACCACCACAACCGCAGTAATAACCAGGGCGGGACGCTTGATTCCAACCGTGAAGCTCTGCAACAAACGAACGCGCCATCGCCAGGCCGCTGAGTCACGATTGACTGCGCCAAAAAATAAGTCCACCCCCCCCCCCCCCCCCCATCATCGGAAAATTATGATTCTTCACTTAATTTGTCTTTGGGCTGCCTCAGGAAAGTGTTAAACATCGCCCGCTTTCCATGCGACGAACTCGCCGCGCAGAGCATACAAATGAACGTTTTTTGCCGCCTCATGTGGACGATTAAGACCTCCTGGAGGGACTTCACCAAAGTCGTAGTTTCGTGACGTTCCAGCTCTCCGACAAGCGGCCGCATGTCAGCGCTCCGCGAGGGTTCCCGAACGGTTAGCCCCCTTCGTCTCGCATGTGACAACGATAGCACACGTGCAATGTCGTTTGGAGAAGCTTGCAAAAACAATTTTCGTGTGAAAACCCTCTTCGCTTATCCCGTGGCTGCCCACGACTCTCCTTCTACTCCTCCTCCTCCTCTCTTTTTCCCCCGGCTCTCTGTCCGCCCGCCCGCCCGTGTATGTGCGCACGGCTGCTCGGTTTCGCGCACGCGGGGAGCTCGTCCGCGTTCCGAGCACCTCGGCTGTCCGACTCGTGGCACCGCGAAGAGGAGGTGAGAGCCCCTCGCACACGGCGCCATCACCGCCCATCCACTTCCGTCAAACAAACGTCAGTCTGATAATCTGCGCTCAAATGAGGATTGAGGCATCGGCGTTCATCTCCCGTTTACAGCCGCCCCACCCCCCCCGAGCCATTGATGGAAGCTCCACGTTGTTATGGCGACGGCGGCGACGAGTTTGATCCGCAGGACAAACCGCCGTTGACTTACCCACGAAGCGGCGCTCTCGCCTGCCGCTGTGCAAGCGATGGAGAGCGGTGTGCCCACATTCCGAGCGTGTTTCGTGTTGAGAGCATCGCGCACCACCTCCGACTGCACCGCTCGTGTTAGCTCTGTGGGACGTGCGACGATTCATCGCCGTTCACCTTCATCGTCAGCCGAAGTTTGCGTAATCCCGCATGGGCTTTCCTCCCCTGGAGTTCTCCGATTTTCTCCCATAGCTGATAGGCAACATGCAGAGTTTAATTAATTGGCGATTGGCCAAAAACCCCCCAAGTCTCACAGGAGTCTCCTGAAAAACAAAGATAAGTCTGCGGACTCTTCAGGCGGTCGAGTGGCTTTTCCCCGAGTGAATCGATTCAAACCTCTTTTGTTGCTGCCAAGTGATGGCGATCTCTTTTGCTTCTCTCATTTGCACCGAAAGTGGCCACCTTTTTGTACAAGCAACTAATTTGATATATGGATATATTTAACAACTTAATGGTTAACTCTTTGTCAAGTCACGGGGCTGCGTTCGGAGCCGGAGTGGGGGGTGTGGGGCAGTGCAGCAAAATCCACCGTTGTACTCTACTCCGCTCCCAACGCCTACGCTACTCCCCTGCACCTATGCGTTGCAATGGTCCAGCGGGGTGAAGTATGCCAGATAGCTCCCCCACCTTCCCCCCCCCCTCCACCCCCTCCCCCAGCACACACGGTGTGGGGAAGCTCTCATCCAGCAATGGATTGCGACACATTGTTTCTGCTATCACTTGGGGCTTCACACCAGCTACCTCCAGCGCGCGTACGCGCGTAGCGATGTCGATTACGTTGGAAGCATCCCCTGCGGTACAGCGCTGCGAAGGTGAATGAAATAGATCTTGTGAATTAATATTTATCCAAATTGAATGAGTCGATCTTTAAATGAATTCATAGCTAGGTGGAAGTGAATCGCCATACCGCGTCTGCGAATTGAGTGAAGTCCCCCAACCATGAAACGCCACCATCGGTGTGGTGTTCCTTTTCCCCTCCTGCCGTACGAATGAAGAGTAACATGTCAAATTGAATCAAATTGAAAGTAAACGATCAATCGAATCTCAATGAAAATGAATGAACCGGATATCTCCGATCGAACAGATCTCGGTGAACGTGAATGGATCGAATCTGCATGATGCTAATTTCTTAGACGTCCTTGGATGCGAGCGCCGGTGATTGTGAATTGACCGTCGGCGGGGGTTGTCTCTGACGCGCCCGTTGGCCGTGCCGTAGCCAACGTCTCGCATGTCTCTGTTGATTTTTGTCTCTCCTCTCGCGCAGCCCTGAGATTTTTTTTTTTTACGAGCGATGATGTTGGCGCCATGAGGCAGTGCCAGGAATGGGTGGTGGTGGTGGTGGTGGTGACGACATCACCATGTGTGGGGACATCTCCATGTGTGCGCGTGCGGGGGTTTTGTCTTTTGAAGGTTCCCTTTTTACGTTTGTTTGATTTTTTTATATATATATTTGTTTAATACTCCCCGAACGTTAGCGTGTGTGTTGCCGTGGTTGGTTGTGCGTCTCGTACGAGGATGTCGATATGCCGCGTTGTGCCGCTGTGTCCCGCTCTGTGGCCCGCTCTGTGTCCCGCTCTGTGTGCCGCTCTGAGGCCCGCTCTGTGTCCCGCTCTGTGGCCCGCTCTGTGTCCCGCTCTGTGTGCCGCTCTGAGGCCCGCTCTGTGTCCCGCTCTGTGGCCCGCTCTGTGGCCCGCTCTGTGTCCCGCTCTGTGTGCCGCTCTGTGTCCCGCTCTGTGGCCCGCTCTGTGTCCCGCTCTGTGTGCCGCTCTGAGGCCCGCTCTGTGTCCCGCTCTGTGGCCCGCTCTGTGTCCCGCTCTGTGTGCCGCTCTGAGGCCCGCTCTGTGTCCTGCTCTGTGGCCCGCTCTGTGGCCCGCTCTGTGTCCCGCTCTGTGTGCCGCTCTGAGGCCCGCTCTGTGGCCCGCTCTGTGTCCCGCTCTGTGGCCCGCTCTGTGTGCCGCTCTGTGGCCCGCTCTGTGTCCCGCTCTGTGGCCTGCTCTGTGGCCCGCTCTGTGGCCCTCTCTGTGTGCCGCTCTGTGGCCCGCTCTGTGGCCCGCTCTGTGGCCCGCTCTGTGTCCCGCTCTGTGGCCCGCTCTGTGTGCCGCTCTGTGTGCCGCTCTGTGGCCCGCTCTGTGTCCCGCTCTGTGGCCCGCTCTGTGGCCCGCTCTGTGGCCCGCTCTGTGGCCCGCTCTGTGTCCCGCTCTGTGTCCCGCTCTGTGGCCCGCTCTGTTGTCCGCTCTGTGTCCCGCTCTGTGTCCCGCTCTGTGGCCCGCTCTGTGGCCCGCTCTGTGGCGCTGTGTGCGGTGCCCATCGCACCGTCGTGTTTTTTTTGCCGGCCCCTCGCCCCCTTCACCCCCATCCCCACCACCCCCACCAACCCTGGCCCGTCCATAAAAAGTATATATACACACACACACAAAAATGAAATTGGTGGGGATTGTTAAGGAGTAGTTTATCCGATTGTGACAAGTGAAGAATTTCCTGGCCTACTGCGTAGGTTTTTGCGGTTTGTGCCGAGTCGCGCCGCGCCTCGTTACGCACGGCCGATGTCCGACGTTTTGCTCCCATTGCGTTGGAAGCTTCTCGAGAGAAATGCAATTGTTCCGTCTTCGCTCCCACGCGTTGCGGAGCTTGCTCTCTGTTCCCGACAGCCTTGTGCCGGACTACAGGCAGTCCCCCCCCCCGTGTTACAGAAGACTTAGGGAAATGTGGCTTGACGCAAATGCTCCCATAAATCATGTTTTCTATGCTTCGTGGTATTCATAAACAATTGGACACAGTGTAAGTATATGTTCCATGAGTGTCATTGTGGGTAGTTTTAGGGTAGATATTCGATTACGTTAAAGAAACTTTCCGACATGCGGAAAATTCGGGTTACGGATATCTCTCGTGAACCTAACCCTTCCGTAACCCGGGGACTGCCTATACTCGGGCAACGACCCCAAGACGACACATCGGTCGATCCAGGTAGATGGAGTTGCCATCCCTTTCCTTCCTCGTTCGCCTCTCCGCTCGCTCCCTTTGAAAACGGTTTCAAAATGCCGTTCCATCACTGAATGTAGGCCATCGGCATCCCTCGCAGTCCTCCAGTCTTATCAAACCATCATATGCATCGTCGGCCACGGTTGGTCCTCTGCTGGGTAAAGGCCCCTCCCCAAGCTGCCACCGCCGCCTTCACACTATCCTGCGATGCAACAATCTGCCTAGAAACCTTCACGCGCGCCGATTCCATCGCTGCATCTCTTTTGGCGGGCGTGCTCTTGTGGCGCGTTCCATTCCTTGGCCCGCCCGCTCCCCCTCTTGCGTGATTCTCGACCACCATCGGCCATCGTTCCTTCTGACGTGTCCTGTGCAAACCCCCCCACCACCAACTGATGTTCCTTTAAACAATTTTAATCAGGTAAGTAACGTGTAACTAATCCGCGTGCTTTCTCTCATCCCACGTATCCCTCTCAACGTAATTCCAGGCTAGCGTCTCCACCCCCCCCCTTCTCCCCCCCCCATCTCCCACCTCCCCTCTCCCACCCCCCCTCTCCCACCCCCCCTCTCCCACCTCTGCCTTCCACACCCACCCACCCTCCAACCACACCCACCCTCCCACCACACCCACCCTCCCACACCCACCCTCCCACCACACCCACCCTCCCACCACACCCACCCTCCCACACCCACCCACCCTCCCTCCCACCACACCCACCCTCCCACCACACCACACTCACCCTCCCACACCCACCCTCCCACCCTCCCACCACAACCGCTTTGCGCGCGGATCTCTGCTCCTGCGCACAAACCCATCTTGCTCCCCTGCCTGGTGGCGTGGGCGTTCCCCGTAAATAACTCTGTAAGTACAAATAATAACTACTACAAGTGCATAACAACTATAACGACGACGCATCACTTTATTTAATGAGAAGGACCCGAACTCATCCCACAACACCCCCCGACACCCCCCCCCCCCCTCGTCTCTCTCTACCCTCGTGTCCTAAACGACCAGCTGGTGGCGTGAAAACGCCTCGCGCCCTCATCTCGGCATCCCTTAAGAGGATTTCCCAAACTCGGCAAAAAGGTCGGGAGCGTCGGAACTTTTTAACCTAGTTAGGTAAGCCACCACGTGCGCCTGGCTGTGTTTATAATAACAAATGTGTCGTTTTTTTTTTTAAGTCACCGCGTGCAACATGGGTCAATGTTTGTATCATGATTACTATCGAGTACTGTGTCGTTTTACTTTTAATTTGTTTTTGCATCCATGAAGTTTTTAGATGAACTGTCGTCGGTTAAGCACATTTTAAACGAGTCTCACGTTGCGTTTTTATCCCGTTTTACCGCGTCGGGTCGGGTCAGGGGGGGGGGGAAACGGTGTCCGTGTGCGTTTTGAATAGGAAATTCCGGATGATGGCTTAATGAGCATTCCTACATGTCTCTATTAAATATGTTTGGTTCTGTAAACGTCCCGCGCGTGGCCTCTTTCCGTGCCTTGCCCCTAAGACGGCCAAGAGCGTTGGCAGCGATCACGAGGTGGGATTGCTAACACGGGAGGGGGGGTTTGCGACTGTGAACCGCGGGCAATCGGCTTGCAGCGAAGAGAACGGCGAGAAATGCTACGGAAGGTTTTGTAGGATCGATCGCCTTGGAGGAGTTGCTGGGGGATCGTGGCCGCATTCACTGAGGATCCCCTGGACTGCCTCGCTGGACAAACAAATGGATCCTCTACAACAGCGGTCCCCAACCTTATTGGTACCAGGGACCGATTTTGTGGAAGACAATTTTTTACGGACCGGGAGGGGGGGGTCATCATTGGGTCTTTCCCCCTTTTCAAAGAAGCTCTCCAGCGACGTTTGGTTTTTTTACTCATTTTGGCTACTAGGGGGTAGAGCTTGTGGGCTTACCAACACTGTGACTGAGACAAGTGCACAGTGCGGGAAAGAGGCGCGGACGGAAGTGGTAAATAATAAAATAATTGGCGGGCCACGCGCGGGCTCCACCGCTCTCACCTCCTGCTGTGTGGCCTGGTTCAGAACAGGCCGCGGTCCGGGGGGTTGGGGGCCTTTGCTCTAGAATACGGAGGTGTGGGGGTGGCGGGAGTGGTCCTTGAGTGAGACGATCAGGAAGAGGAAGATGGCGATCGTTCCTGGGACCACGTCCTGCGGAAGCCCCGGTGACTGCCTGGAGATGGTAAATCGATCCTCGACGCAGGGAATGGGGGTCCTTGAGTCAATCATGAAGATGACAATCGTTCCTGGGAGATGTCCTGCCGAGGTCCAGATACGATGGTGAACGAAGAACTGGAACTGATAACGCTGCTGTTGCTTGGACAGGCCCTCATTACGTCCTTCTGGCGTATGGCGTGTGTAAATTATGCAGTTCCACCACTGGACCAGAGGATTAGGAACAAAGGATGTATTTGAGTATCCTGCAGAGGCAGCGTTGTCTCGATGCTAATTGGGGCTTTGCATTGAGCGGGAGGGAGGGGAGAAGAGGGGGGGGGATCCCAGATACAGTATGAAAGAGACGGGACGTGGAAACGGGTGTATACCGCGGTAAAAAAAAACTATTGGGACTATTCGAGACCAACAGAGACACCGATTGTTAAGAAAACAAGAGGAAGTGACCCCATGAAAAGATGTACATACAGTGAGGGAAAAAGTATCTGATCCCCTGCTGATTTTGTACGTTTGCCCACTGACAAAGAAATTATCAGTCTATAATTTTAATGGTAGGTTTATTTGAACAGTGAGAGACAGAATAACAGCAAAAAAATCCGGGAAAACGCATGTCAAAAATGTTATAAATTGATTTGCATTTTAATGAGGGAAATAAGTATTTGACCCTCTCTCAATCATAAAGATTTCTGGCTCCCAGGTGTCTTTTATACAGAAAACGAGCTGAGATTAGAAGCACTCTCTTAAAGGGAGTGCTCCTAATCTCAGCTTGTTACCTGTATAAAAGACACCTGTCCACAGAAGCAATCAATCAATCAGATTCCAAACTCTCCACCATGACCAAGACCAAAGAACTCTCCAAGGATGTCAGGGACAAGATTGTAGACCTACACAAGGCTGGAATGGGCTACAAGACCATTGCCAAGCAGCTTGGTGAGAAGGTGACAACAGTTGGTGCGATTATTCGCAAATGGAAGAAACACAAAAGAACTGTCATTTTCCCTCGGCCTGGGGCTCCATGCAAGATCAAACCTCGTGGAGTTGCAATGATCATGAGAACGGTGAGGAATCAGCCCATAACTACACGGGAGGATCTTGTCAATGATCTCAAGGCAGCTGGGACCATAGTCACCAAGAAAACAATTGGTAACACTACGCCGTGAAGGACTGAAATCCTGCAGTGCCCGCAAGGTCCCCCTGCTCAAGAAAGCACATATACATGCCCGTCTGAAGTTTGCCAATGAACATCTGAATGATTCGGAGGACAACTGGGTGAAAGTGTTGTGGTCAGATGAGACCAAAATGGAGCTTCTTCTTTGGTTCTTTCGGTAAAGTCACGTAGAATGAGAATAAAATAATAAAATAAAATATCACAATTCTCACGACGTTTCGGCCACAACACAAGTGTTGTTATTTTATTAATGTGTTTATTCTCATTCTACGTGACTTTACCGAAAGAACCAGAGAAGATGAATCCTTGCAGTCACGAAAGCTTCAAATCGAAAAATCAAAATGGAGCTCTTTGGCATCAACTCAACTCGCCGTGTTTGGATGAGGAGGAATGCTGCCTATGACCCCAAGAACACCATCCCAACCGTCAAACATGGAGGTGGAAACATGCTTTGGGGGTGTTTTTTTGCTAAGGGGACAGGACAACTTTACCGCATCAAAGGGATGATGGACGGGGCCATGTACCGTCAAATCTTGGGTGAGAACCTCCTTCCCTCAGCCAGGGCATTGAAAATGGGTCGTGGATGGGTATTCCAGCATGACAATGACCCAAAACACACGGCCAAGGCAACAAAGGAGTGCCTCAAGAAGAAGCACATTAAGGTCCTGGAGTGGCCTAGCCAGTCACCAGACCTTAATCCCATAGAAAATCTGTGGAGGGAGCTGAAGGTTCGAGTTGCCAAAGGTCAGCCTCAAAACCTTAATGACTTAAAAAAGATCTGCAAAGAGTGGGACAAAATCCCTTCTGAGATGTGTGCAAACCTGGTGGCCAACTACAAGAAACGTCTGACCTCTGTGATTGCCAACAAGGGTTTTGCAACCAAGTACTAAGTCATGTTTTGCAGAGGGGTAAAATACTTATTTCCCTCATTAAAATGCAAATCAATTTATAACATTTTTGATATGCGTTTTTCTGGATTTTGTTGTTATTCTCTCTCAGTTCAAATAAACCTATTAAAATTATAGACTGATCATTTATTTGTCAGTGGGCAAACGTACAAAATCAGCAGGGATCAAATACTTTTTTCCTTCACTGTAAGAGACAGACAAAACAGAATCGCGTGGCAACATACACGTCTTGAGAGAGCCACCAACACGAGTCTCGAAGCTTTGGTGGTCTGTCCACCGCTTCTCCCGTCCTATTGAACATGGCTCCTGGTCTGTGCATCACTACGCAAACACTAATCTTTTTATTTTAACAGTTAAGGCTTCACCGAGCTATATAGCTCTTTTTCAGAAGCCACCTGGCAATCACAAATGACAGCTCAACAAAGTGGCTTGTGGAAATTTACAGCAGCCAAATCATTTAAAACGTGCGTTTCTAAATGTGGAGGTGAGAAACCGTAGAAAAATCCGTGCGACCACGGGGAGAGAACGTGTGGACTCCGAATACAGAGGTATCGGCGTCAGACCCCACGACTTGTATACCAGGCAAGGTAGTTAACATCTCGCCACTGTGCAGCAAGAACAGCAGTTTCTCTGCACAACGTCCAACACGGCATATTATTTTTCTGCACACATTCGTAATAACCAAACATTGCGCGCCAGCATTTTTTAAAAAAGTCCTGTTTATTCGCACAGCCAGGCTCGACAAGAACGCTGCAGGGCGGCCTATTCCGAGGTCTCTGCAGCGCCCCACCCCCCACGGGAGGACGATTCACGGATGGCCAACAGCTACAAAGAGCTGGGCGGTGATGTTAGCCAAGGACAATCCCGACGGCGAGCGACGGCAACTGGGAGGTCTCGAGGTGGCCGTCATGTTTTAAAGTAATGTCACTAATAAATATGGGGTGGGTTTTTTTTTTTTGGGGGGGGGGGGGGGGTTTAGACCGTGTAAATATAAATGTCGCTAACCCACGACCACCACCTGACACAGCCAATCGGTAAGGTTTGTTACGTAAACAAAACGTGCCGATTACTACTGCAGCACACACCCGGTGTGTCGGCAGTGTTAACACATTTACAATGAGTGCTGTAACGTTTCTCTGGCGATTACAATAACCAGCTTCATTGGGCGATTTGCCAGAATTGTGAAGTCTTCCCGTCTCGGTCTTAAACAGAGTCCAGGTGATATCACTATGAGCCTATCGTCTCGGTCTTAAACAGCGTCCAGGTGATATCACTATGAGCCTATCGTCTCGGTCTTAAACAGCGTCCAGGTGATATCACTGTGAGCCTATCAGGTGAGAAGACCACAGTGGGGCGGCTAAGGTAGTTATATAAATTACAATGCATCGTGAACCTGAGAATATGCGGCACCTGTGCAGGTTGTCTGAAAAAGTCCTTTTCCACTGGTACATCCGTGCCAAGCCAGCATGGGTGATTTACCTAACCAAGCCAAAACCAAACCATGATATGCTGGCCTCCACGCTCTTGGGGGGGGGGGGGGGCTACGTGGTGTGTGGTCGAGGGCGGTGCGGCAAAATCCATCATTGTACTGTTTGCCGCCTTTTATCAACCCGCTCTGACGAGCGTGGTGAAGTATGGTAAAAAAAAACCCTAGCTAACCCGCATGGCAAGCCCTCATCCATCAGTGGATTGATAGATGGCTGTACATAAACAACGCAGCATTTAATCTTTATATAACCCAGGTCACCCTTGTGATCGAGGCAATATTTAACGCATATTAAAGGGTCTATATTTCATATATCCGAGGTTAAAGGAAACCGCTAATAACAAACACGGTAAATGAAAAAAACATCGTTGGCGGTGCAACCACCGGTGGTGCCGCGAGGTTCCCCGGCGCGTGGAGCCGAATTCTGCTCCTGGCACGTGGGAGCAAAACGGCGGACGTCGTAGCGAACGCCACGCGGTACGACCCGAAAAACGCATCGGAGGGCTGCGCAGCAGCACGACCGCGGAAAAATCCCCGCGGTAGCAGCGGCGGCGGCCCTTGTCGTTCCATTCCCAAGGCGGAGCGCAGGAGGTGCCCACTGCCGGCGGTGCCGGCTCAGGGCCGCGTCTCCGCGTCCTCCACGTTGGCCAGCTGCATGCGACGGCGCGCGCTTAGCTGCTTCGCTCGGTTCCGCTCCACCTGGCCCTTGGCGAGGATGAAGAGCGTCACGCCGACTGGCATCCCGATCAGCCTGCGCAGACGCACGCCAGCAAGGGCACGCACACCCGCCATCACGCGTAAATAAAAGACGAAAGATCACCCCCGCGTAGCCTTTTAACGGGCTGTTTGGGGTAAGTTGGCGAGTAGCACCGATGAAGGGCGGCACCACGCCCGGCCGGCCGCCTTTGTCTCCCCAGTGGTGATGTCAACACACCGCGCCAGGTACTCATTCGAGGGCCGAGTCAAGTACACGACACTTGGGGCCTGCGTGGCAGAGCGAAGCGAGCACGTCTCCGGCATTCTGGACGCTGGCAGAAACTAAAACGGCCGCATTCGTCTCCCCTATGCTGATGTTTTATACACACCGCACCAGGTACGAGATTGAAAACTAATTTCTTTAAAACTGCTTTTTGTGTTTTAGTTTGTCGTCCTTCCCCCGCACCTCCGATTAGAACGGTTGGCGCCGTACGGTGCGAAAGAAGTTCAACTTACACCACACCTCCAATTAGGTTAAAATATGAGTCACTTAAGTGGCCGCGTGCTCGCACCAGGCCCAGCCAACGGACTTCATGGGGTTCTTGGCGGGGCGCTGCGGGATGTAGTTGGGGTCGTTGTAGAGCCTCTGCTTCACGGACCCGGCGCCTCCCGGCGGCGGCCGCCGCTGCTGCTGCTGCTGCTGGCGGAGTCGCCCAGCGGCGCCGTGGAACCGGGCAGAGCGAGCGCCCAGCAGCCCTGCGTGGGAAGGGCAGCAGACAAAATATCTCCCCCCGTGAAGTCTTCACAGACTTCTTAGCTCTTTCGGTAAAGTCACGTTGAAGGAAAACAATAATAAAAAATATATAAAACAATAAAAATTCTCACGCCGTTTCGACCATAACACAAACGGTTATGGTCGAAACGTTGTGGGAATTTTTTGTTTTATATATTTTATTATTTTATTGTTTCCCTTCAACGTGACTACCAAAAGAGCTAAGAATATGAATTACTGCAGTCACGAAAGCTTTAAATCAAAATTTATTCACAGACTGTTGAGGTGGCAAGTGCTGTTAGCGAGTAGCACCTAGGAACTATTTTACCAGGTAACGCCCGCTTACCGATATAGCGAATTTTTTAGAAGTGACCTGCCCACACGCGATAGCTTATCGTCGTGTGGAGATTTATAGCAGCCAAATGACTCTAAACTGCACGTCGATTCTAAACGTGGAGGGGGAAACCACCAGAGGACCCGGAGAAAAATCCACGCGACCACGTGGAGAGAGAAAAGCAAACAGCAGCAGGCGCCAGGGTTGGGATGAAACCCAGGACCTCCTGTATACCAGGCGAGGTAGTTAACATCTCCTAGCCACCGTGATGATGATGAGAGAGAGACATGCAAACTCCAAATATACAGCAGCAGGCGCCAGGGTTGGGATGAAACCCACGACCACCTGTATACCAGGTGAGGTAGTTAACATCTAGCCACCGTGATGATGAGAGAGAGACACGCAAACTCCAAATATACAGTAGCAGGCGTCAGGATCGGAATCAAACCCAGTACCTCCTGAATACCAGGCGAGGTAGTTAACATCTAGGCACCGCGCAAATTCCTCAGGTCACGATGACACCGCACGATTTGAGTTTTTTAACAGCGGTGCTATTTCCTTCTCGGGCGTGCGCTGCTCGGTCCTCGACATAGTAACGTGGAAAGCCCACCACCGGCTCCCCCGGCACCTACGAAAAGCATCGATGACCGCTGGCCGTTAAGAGCACGCGGGTCCCTGACCTTTTGCCGGGTATTTTGTCTAAAGTTGACTCTCTCGCCACCACAACGCACGGTGTGGTGATGCTGCTCGGCCCGTTGAGAATCAACGCCGCTCCAAATCAGCGCGGGATCCATCAGCTCAACAACCATCGCCGCCGCGTCTCTCAACTTTCACCAGCGGCAACCAACGCTCAATCCACTGCTGGATGACGAAGGCCTCCCTACCCTCACCCACCAGAGCATCGCCCCGTCATCGTTCACCGTCATCGTTCACGCACGAACGACAACAAATCGAGCACTTGCACGCACGAGCGAGTTTTGAGCGCTCCATCTCCGCGGTGAATGCTCCTCTCGGGGGGGGGGGGGGTCAGGGGTCATTTGGCTCCTTCCTCCGTTGCCAGCCTCGACCATGCAAGTCGTGATCTGTCTACGGAGTCGAGACAAACTTCGCCAAAAGGGGCAGCGACAACACGGCCTTGAGGCCCACCACCACCACGGCCTTGAGGCCCACCACCACGGCCTTGAGGCCCACCACCACGGCCTTGAGGCCCACCAACACGGCCTTGAGGCCCACCAACACGGCCTTGAGGCCCACCACCACGGCCTTGAGGCCCACCACCACGGCCTTGAGGCCCACCACCACGGCCTTGAGGCCCACCACCACGGCCTTGAGGCCCACCAACACGGCCTTGAGGCCCACCAACACGGCCTTGAGGCCCACCAACACGGCCTTGAGGCCCACCACCACGGCCTTGAGGCCCACCAACACGGCCTTGAGGCCCACCACCACGGCCTTGAGGCCCACCACCACGGCCTTGAGGCCCACCAACACGGCCTTGAGGCCCACCAACACGGCCTTGAGGCCCACCACCACGGCCTTGAGGCCCACCAACACGGCCTTGAGGCCCACCAACACGGCCTTGAGGCCCACCACCACGGCTCCTCTCTCATCGTCCTACTGAAGACGGCTTCTGTTCCTGTGCGTCCCTAGGCACACGCTGAACTATTTTGACAGGGTGGTGAGGCTGCTAATTTAGCTGTTTCAGTAAACCACCTGGCTATCACAAATGACAGCTCAACGAAGTTGGCTTATCATCATGAGGCGATGTATAATACTGTAGGCGGCAAGTAATCTAAACGCCTATTCTTTTATTCTAAGTATACGAGGACCCGCAGAAGAATCCACGCCACCATGGGGAGAGAGAGAGACATACAGATTGCCGACGCAGAATCACACAAAATAATCATTCTTAGAACGATTAATCGATTGCAACGTCTTGTCAAGATAACACAATGTCCTCACGGTTATCTTGTGAACATGACCTCCACAGCTCCTAAGAAACGCGTCTCCCTAGTTTCTGCTTCTCCTCTTCCCTGTTCTTTATTACGAACAAGGTTCATTGCCCGAAACGTCGCCCCCCTATTCACCGCGGCTTTCCTTATTAGGCCCGCAGCGATGTCGAGTTTGCGCTGCGTGCCCCACTAACAACAGCCGCCATTGGCCATCCCAGCGGTGGGCTGTCGTCACCGCAGCGCCTGTGCCAGGCTAGGTGCACCCTCGAGTACAGCGTCTGCGTCCACCAAAAACAAAGCGTGTTGTAGCGTGAACGTCAAGAGAGATATATACGGACCACGGCTGGGAGCCGCGGAGAAGGCGAATCTCCAAGCGGCGAGTCCACTCATCATCGTCTTCGCTGTGAGCAGGGCCTGCAAGGCGTCTCACGCGTGCCGCTGCTCGTCACGTGACGAGGGCTCGCGCTGCTGGAGACGTTGGGGGGGGGCGGGGGGGGGGCGCTTCGCTGCTGATGCCCTCGACGCCTTGCACTGGGCCCTGAGACACACCCACGTGGTTTGGGTTTCTTGTGGCTGGCCCCGTGACGTCACTTCCCACGCCCCGCCCCCACGCCCCGCCCCCACGCCCCGCCCCCACGCCCCGCCCCCACGCCCCGCCCCCACGCCCCACGCCCCGCCCCCACGCCTCCCCTACCAGTCCTGACACCCCCCCGCCTCCACGCCCCGCCCCCACGCCCCGCCCCCACGCCTTCCCCGTCCTGACACCTCCCCCACCCGCCCCCACCCGCCCCCACGTCTCTCCCCCCCCGCCCCCACGCCTCCCCCCCCCGCCCCCACAGCTGCACGTGCTCCCCACCCTCCCGCTGTAGGGGTTTGCCTGCTCGGACGGGGGATGATTTCGTGCTGCCCTGTCTGTGTGCACAAACTCCTTGGTTCTTGGGTGATCACGTAGGTAGATCAACAAATATAACAGACCACGACGTTTCGATCGCAACACAAGCAATCGTCATCAGGTGGGACAACCACAGCAAGGAGAAAAAAACTGCTGAAGTACTTCAACAGTTAATCAAAATTAGTGTCGTTATAACAATTATATTCAATTAATATTTACTTAAAGTTAATCAAAATTAGTGTCGTTATAACAATTATATTCAATTAATATTTACTTAAAGTTAATCAAAATTAGTGTCGTTATAACAATTATATTCAATTGATATTTATTTAAAGTTGCGCATTTTGATGTGACGTCACATTTCTCAAACCCCCCCCCCCTCGTCACACATCGTCACAAATGTCTGACCCCCCTCCCCCGCAGGTGTGTGACGTCATTTATGGGCGGCCCTTAATACATTCGTAAATAACTGTGTGAGCTTAATATTGTTACGTTGCTAGTAACGTTCTGACCCCGTGTTGGACATGGCTATGAAAAAGAGCTTTATAGCTCATCGGATTCCTCCGGTATCTAATAATCTGATTAAAATAATGTATACATTAAATAGGCAACGTTTCGGGCGATGACCCTTCTCTGCTGTGCATTCAACAACAACGCAGTGGGCCTTAAAGAGAAAAGTAATGTGCGACGTTTCGGGTATTGGCACCTCCTGCAGGACACCGCGTGGTCTCTTTGCCTTGAGCGGCTCTTAAACGCGAGCCGCCGATTGGTCCACGCGCGTCACGTGGACGAGGCGCGAGCCGGCGGGTCGATTGTAATGACGAGGCAGTCGCGTGGCGCGTGGATCGATTCTTTTTGGTTGAAGCGATTCGAGGCCCGGCCACTTTTGCAGCGTCGATTCCCCAAAACACTAATTCCGCCGCGTTTTTGTTTTGCTTAAAACCCTGGAGGGGCTAACGTCAGACTGTTGCAACGTTTGACGCGAGGGACCATGAGGACATTTTTTAAAAATATTAACGTAAAAAAAAAACCGCTAGAGGGTTGTAATTGGATGGATTCGATTCTTCCTCTTGCGTGCGTCGTGGGGGAATCGGATCGACTTGGGGTTGCGGGGGGCAGGTGCCGAGGGTGAGTAGTCGACCCCAGCAGGCGCGACAGTCCGCGGGGAGTGAGACGCGAGAGAGGCGGAGAGGGGAGAGAGAGGGGAGAGAAGGGAGAGAGAGAGAGGGGAGAGAGAGAGGGGAGAGATTGCCATGGCCACGGGTCGCCTGGAGGAGTTGGAGGCGCGGGTCCTGGAGCTGGAGGCGACGTTGGCAGCGGAGCGCCGAGCGGCCCGGGGCGGCGAGAGTCGACCCCGCATCGCGACCATGAGCGCGGAGGTGGTGGACAGCAACCCCTACAGGCGAGAGACTCCACCACCACCACACCACCACACACCATCACCAGCACGCACCAGCACCACACACTACACACCACCACCACACACCACCACACATCACACACCACCACCACACACCACCATCCACCACCACCACGCACCACCACCACCATACCACCACCACCCAACCACACACCACCACCAAACCACCACCACGCAACACCACCACACACTACACACCACCACACACCACAAACTACACATCACCACCACACACCACACACCACCACCACCACACACCACCACCACGCAACACCACCACACACTACACACCACCACCACGCACCACCACACACCACCACCACCACACACCACCACGCACCACCACCACCACGCACCACCACCACCACCACCACACACCACCACACAACACCACCACACACTACACACCACCACGCACCACCACGCACCACCACCACGCACCACCACGCACCACCACCACACACCACCACCACGCACCACCACCACACACCACCACCACTCCTGGATTCAAAACTGAATTTTGAAGATCACATTGATTATATTGGTAAAAAAACTAAAATTGGTTTTCTGTATCGACACAAGCACTGCTTCCCCCCAATATTCCGTTTGGAATTGATAAAAGGTACCATACTGTCTCTACTTGACTACTGTGACATCGTGTATAAATCAGCCCCAAGTACTGTACTGAAGAAGCTTGATTCCATCTATCACTCGACCTTAAGATTTACATTGAACTGCCCATATAGGACTCACCACTGTGATTTCTACATTGGGTCAAACTTAACATCTCTTAATGTTCGACGGCTTGTGCACCAGATCTTATTTATTCACGATGTACTTACAAAAAAATCCGCAGACTACCTACTGGATCTCCTCTCTGTTTCAAAGAACAAATTTGACCTCAGGTCTTCGCTCATTTACCACCTTCACATTCCCTATTGCCGTACAAAAACTGGAGGAAGGGCCTTTGCTATTGATGCCCCCAGAGTCTGGAATGCTATTGCCAATAAACTGCAACTTGAATCGCTACCAATGAGATCTTCTCTCAAAACTGCTCTAGAGGAGTTGTACACCCCTAGCTGCCACTGCTATTCAGTGGCCTAAAATAAAATGTTTCGCTACGGATGACCGCTGCAAAGTATTATCTGTGTTTTGATTTAGCGTGCTGATCTTAAAGGTGCATTGAAAAATGTGATACTCCGACCGATGCTTCTGTTGTTGTGGAGTAACTCATGCAACCAGCTATGGCTCTAGGGTTTGGTGTTACATGTTATTTATGTAGTTTATTGTTAAAAATTCGGTCACAGTCCCTATGATCACTGTTACATTGCATTTATGGCTTTATTTTGGTGATTTCGAAAAGTTTTTTTGGTTTGGCCATGTTTTTGTTTATTGTAGTACGGAGTTAGACCGATGGCCTTAATCTAAGTTGTCTTGTGGTTGTTGTTTGACTTGCATCCCACTGGGATTTTTGCACACAGCGTTGGTGTACGGTGCTTTTTTCAGGAATATTTTGATGTTTTTTTCCTGTATTTTCTGTTTGCACAGTCACATAATCACTTCAAGATGTTTTCTTGTTCATGTTTTTGTTTGTTGCGGTTGCACCCGATTCAAGAGCCGAATGGCTCACAGGGCTATACCAAAATAAAATGAAACTGAAAAAAAAGCTGAAACCACTCACCACCACCACCACACATAGCAACCCCTAAAGACGAGAGACTCCACCACCACGCACCACCACCATGCACCACCACACACCACCACCACGCTCCACCACCACCACGCTCCACCACCACACACCACCACCACGCACCACCACGCACCAACACGCACCACGCTCCACCACCACGCTCCACCACCACACACCACCACCACACACATAGCAACCCCTACAGGCGAGAGACTCCACCACCACGCACCACCACCACCACACACCACCACCACGCACCACACACCACCACCACGCACCACCACCACGCACCACCACCACGCACCACCACGCACCACCACCACGCACCACCACCACACACCACCACCACGCACCACCACCACGCACCACCACCACGCTCCACCACCACGCTCCACCACCACACACCACCACCACACACAGCAGCCCCTACAGGCGAGAGACTCCTCCAGCAGCACACCAATACCCGCTATTCGCCACGAAGTGACGGTGACATCACCACAGCACCTGTGCCAGGCTAGGTGCACTTCGAGGCCACACGAAGTGTCGAAGGCTCGCTGACAAGAGGAGGTCTCGGGACAGACCCAGCAGGTGCCATGGGTTGGCTGACTGAGATGACTGGCAGATGCACCACCAGCTGTACCCCCTACTGTGCCAACTTGCGGCGTGTTAGCCGCACGGCCCGTTGTTGTGAGCGTCGCTCCTCTGCCCTTCGCTGTTGTTGGAGGGTGACTGCCTCCAGCTGCCCAGCAGTAGCGTCCTTCACGAGCCTCCTCCACAGAGGCCGATCTGACACCGCTGGTACCGGTCATCGGCAAGTCCACTCAGCTCCACATCCTCCTGTACCGCATCACTACATCTCTTCTCTAGCCTGTGCCGTGCCCATTTAGCCCCCTATATGCAGCCAATCAGAATCTGCTTGGGCATGCGGTGGCTGGGCATGTGGGCTACATGACCCAACCTTGCCTGCCGGAGGAGCTCACTGATGGGGACTTTGTCCAGATCTTTAAACGATTTGTGAGCTCCTGACACAATCCAGCCTGGTTAAACCCAGGATGGATCGTAGGCATGCTAGCCTGAATGTCTCTGATGGTAAGACCACCTCTTAGTGGTACACTCCAGGTTCAGCAGCAGCGCCTCCAACTCCTCATCTGAGTGAGCAGCAATCACCAGATCATCGGCATACATAACATGGTTGACCAATAGGGAGCTATCCATCGACTGCACCCGGGCATCGATCAGCCTCCCGTTGTATCTGTACCAGATGGAAATTCCTCCGGTACAGCCATGGAAAGCTTCTCGAACTATGTGGTCAAAGATTATGTTAAATAATGTGGGAGCCAGAGGACATCTCTGTCGCACCCCAAGGTGAACAGGTAATGGCTCCGACTCCTGGCCATGTAGCTTTACTCGGGCCTGCCCACCATCATGAAAGCCCTTAATGATTGTGAGCAGAGAGTCAGGGACTCTGAAAGCACGAAGAACTGACCACAGCCCTGGCCTGTTGATAGTATCATAGGCCTTGACCAGGTCAATAAAGCAGAGATGTAGGTCTTGTTGGAATTCCCTACACCTCTGCTGTAGCAGACGGACAAAGAAAATGGCATCCGTGCAAGACCGCCCTGGTCTGAAACCGCATTGGGGCTCCGCAAGCCTCTCCTCAGCGTGACTGGCAAGGCGATGTTGAATAATCCTTGCCAGGACCTTTCCTGAGACACTGAGAAGAGAGATGCCCTTGTAGTTGTTACAATCTGCAGAGCCCGTCCTGTGGTCCACACAGTTGTGATGATGTCATGTAGGGCAGTCTGCACACAGATGCCACCCTTCCTCAGCATTTTGCTTGGGAGATGGTCTCTGCCCGGCGCTTTTCCTGGTCTCAGACTTCGGATCGCCCATCACACTTCCTCCACAGATGGCACCTCAGCCAGCCACTCAGAAGAGGTGGCTAGGCACGGCAGCCCTAGCAGGGTCGTCCCTACCTTGTCGATGATGTTGTCTGGGCTGAGGGAATTCCTCTCCCCCAAGACCTCACAAAAATGTTCTGAAAACCTGCAGCCCTGTTCCTGGGGGTCGGAGATCTGGTTATCGTTCTTTCCCTTAAGGATGGTGATAGGTGAGGCGCTGCAAGTTACTTTTTTTATGGAATTAAACATTGATTTGTGCAGGCTACTGAGGCAGATTCCATCTCAACAATCCGCGCCCACCACTCATCCTTGCAGCGCCGCACGGATCTCCGATTCTCCGAGCGAAGGCTGCGGTAAGCCTCCTCCTCTAGGCGAGACACAGATCTCCCATATAGCCTTAACAGACTGTGTTGTTAGCGAGCAGCACCTATGAAGGCCGGCATGGCACACGAGGGGGTGGGTGGCCAGCACCACGCCCGGCGCCTTTGTCTCCCTAGTGGCGATGTTACTACACACTGCACTAGGTACTCATTTGAGGCTGAGTAGACCTAGGTGAGGCCCAGTACCGGTTCAGATAATTGTCACTAGTTGTCAGCCGTGAGCGGCAATCAAACTCGGGGTGCCGGGTTCATAGCGCAGCGCGCTTACCGCTACACTACCACCTCCCCAGCAGCACACACAGCAACCCCTACAGCCGAGAGACTCCACCACCACACACCACCACACACCACCACACACCACCACACACCACCACCACCACCACCACCCACAGCGCCACACGACGACGACGCGCATCACCGCCCTCCTTGACGCGTCTCCCCGTGTGTTGTTCCGCGCAGTCGGCTGATGGCGCTCAAGAGGATGGGGGTGGTGGACAATTACGAGGTGGGTGAGACAACCCAGCCGGCCTTGTTCCCTCTGCACCATTCGGAGCACTGTTCAACATGAACAATTTTTTTATCTTACCAGGCAAGTTCCACTGAGCCAGCTCTTTCAGAAGTGACCTGGCCACAAGTGAGAGCTCAGCAAAGTGGCTTTGTCATCGCGTGGAAATCTGTAGCAGCCAAATACTCAAAATGCGTTGATTCTGAATGTGGGGGGAAAAACTGGAGGACCTGGAGAAAAATCCACACGGCCACGGGGAGAGAAACATGCAAATTCCATATATACAGGAATTAGGGTTGGGATCGAACCCATGACCATACCAGGCGAGGTAGTTAACATTTCTCCATCGCGGCGCCCAACATACGTGCACTGGGCCTTGAATCAAGCCTGGCGGTTATCACGTGTTTCAGCTAAACTTTAGTTGTGAGCGAAGCGTACGGCACATAGTCGTAGTAGCACAGTGACTACTGGTTATTACACCCGTCGTAATAACCAGGGCGGCCGCTGGTTTCGAACCACGAACCTCTGGAGCAAGCGGCGAACGTGCTACCAGCTGGGCCGCGTCAAAACCCAATTGACACCCTGGACGTATTGTCATAAATGTCCATCGACACCCTCGACACCCCTCGTGTTCATCTACACCCTTGCAATTTCGACGTTCTTTTCGCGAGGGACTATCCAGTTGAAATATTAAAATTAATAAAATGCTTATCAGGGGATTCATCGTTGCTGAACATTGACGATGTGACTTTGACCCTGTTTCTTTGTGAACCCCCCCCTACCGCCCCGCCTCCCACCGCCCCCCCCCCCCTCACTCTCCCGGCTCATTGCCCACGGTGCCAGCGCATCCGCGACGTGGCCGTGGCGGTCGTGGGCGTGGGCGGCGTCGGCAGCGTCACGGCCGAGATGCTGACTCGCTGCGGCGTGGGGAAGGTGAGGGCCGCCGCCGCTGCCGCTCGCTCGCCGCGTCTGCTCGAGAGGGAGCCGGTCGGTCCCTGGCGCGTGGAGTCGACGAGTACGATCCCGATCGTGGATTGGAACGTGCTGAAGGATCATCTGTAGCTCCACATGATCAGGGATAGCGAGTCGCAGACCTTTGCGGGCAGCTGCAGAGGTGGAGCGACCGACCTCCCATTGAATGGAGGTTCTTTTTTTGGCGATGGTGCTGCAGCAGCCGGTGCTGGGTCGGCAGCGTTTAACAAGCTGCAATGAACGACACTAGCTCAACGTGTTCCCTCAATAATGCTGCGCTTAAAAGGACAACCAAAAGATAGGCGACGTTTTGGGTAAAGCTCCTCCGTCAGCACGTTAAATGTCACGAACTTGTTGCGCCTTTTTTTGTTTGGTTTCCAAATTGAGACTGCACAGTGATCACCGCCCCCTACTGGCATGGCAGACTCCCGCCTGCTTGCAGGCCATGCGCCCAGCCTCCTCGTGCCTCACAGGGGACAGCTGCTGCTGCTGGGGGGGTGCCTTTTCAAGCGGTTGACAGACGAGGTGTTGTGACGCGAGTCGCCTATCGCATGTGAAGCGCCCTGACGCGCACCCTAAAGACGACGATTATCTCTCCGACGCACGCACGTTGCACGTTGCACCGCGTGTCGCACTCCGCTCGCGCGTCGCCGCCTTTATCCTCCGTCCGCGTGCGTGTGCTCTAGCTGCTGCTGTTCGACTACGACAAAGTGGAGCTGGCCAACATGAACCGGCTCTTCTTCCAGCCGCAGCAGGCCGGCATGAGCAAAGTGGAGGCCGCCGAGCACACCCTGCGGTACGCACGGCGGCGCGCGGCGGGGCTACGCGGAAACGCGAGAACGATGCTCCGTCCCTTACCCCACCCTCGCCTCACTCACTCGCGTTCCATCTCCCGTTCCCCTGCAGGAATATCAACCCGGACGTGCAGTTTGAAACGCACAACTACAACGTCACCACCATGGGCAACTTCCAGCACTTCATGGAGCGAGTGAGGTCAGATCGACGTCCCTACGGCCTCTTCCCACTTTCTCGCGACACCGTTGCGATCAAAAGCTCGAACCGGCCGATGGATCTGTAGGGGCCAGAGTGGCGCGTGCGTTTGTGTGCGTGTGTGCGTGCAGCAGATGTGGTTGCCGATGGAGAGCGGCAGTGTAGGAGTTAGCGCGCAGCGATATGAACCCGGCGAACCGAGTTGGAATTCCTTCTCGCGACCAATAACAGTGACGATTGTTTGAACCGTCCTGGGCCTACCCTAGGTCGACTGAGCCGCAAACCTTAACATCAGCACTGAGGAGGCAAAGTCGACCGGGCGTAGTTCTGGTCACATCTCTCTCGTGCGTCGTGCCTTCAATAGGTGCCGGTTAACAGCACTTGCCCCGACAATCTCTTAAAGGCTATGTGGGGAATCTTTGTCTTTGTACAGTCACGGGGGCCTGCAGGAGGGCCGGCCTGTCGAGTTGGTCCTCTGCTGCGTCGACAACTTTGAAGCGCGCATGGCCATCAACACGGTGGGTTGTCCATGCCATGTGGCCACGTGGCCACGCCACAGCACCACGCTCCGTGCCCCACCGGGACACGTTACTCCCGAACGTCCTCACCCCTCCAGCCCCACGGGCCGTTCGTTGCCGTTGTGACAAGTGCGCGCGGGGCCAACAGCGTCGTTCAAAATCGAAAAGCGCTCTGGAGCGCACTGCTCCTTTGAACGGACCCCGGCTGTGAATTATATTTATCACGTGAATGATCAAGTTGATGAAAATCCCAGGCTTGTAATGAGGTGGTGGGCAGGTTGTGGCTGATGCGGATGATGATGATGATGATGTTGATGATGTTTCTAGGCATGTAACGAGCTGAGCCAGGTGTGGATTGAGTCGGGGGTGAGTGAGAACGCTGTGTCCGGCCACATCCAGCTCATCATTCCTGGCGAGACGGCCTGCTTCGCGGTAAACACCGCACTGGCACGCGGTGTGCACCACGCTGGCAGTGTTCCACGCACACGACACCGGCACCAGACACGCAGCGCCGGCACATGCGCCACACCAGCATGGGGCACCGCACCGACACACCACACCACACCAGCACGGGAGCCACACCGGGTACACACACCACACCAGCACGCACACCAGCACGGGAGCCACACCGGGTACACACACCACACCAGCACGGGAGCCACACCGGGTACACACACCACACCAGCACGGGAGCCACACCGGGTACACACATCACACCAGCACAGGAGCCAGACCGGGTACACACACCACACCGGCACGGGAGCCACACCGACACACACACCACACCAGCACACGGGCGTCACACCAACACACGCGCCACACCCCTACACTGGATCGCACAGTGCCGCACTTCAACGCGCTGCATCTCACATTGACAACTCCAGTGTCCTGCCGGAGTTGGGCCCAGTGGGGGGACCCCCGTTGGCCGCAGTCTCTGCGGGCCACGTGGTGAATCCACACCGTGGCCACCAAGTGGCCACCGGGCTGCCAACAGGCCCTTCGATGTTGCCGTGTTTTTTTTTCTCTCTCCCAATTAAAGGACTCAACCGCTTTTTTATATTCACATCACGGGATCTGTAATATTCATCGACCCGCGCAATGGTTATGGTTAATGTGTGCTGCCATGGTGGCTAGAAGATGTTAACTACCTCGCCTGGTATACAGGAGGTCGTGTGTTCCACCATCATCATCACGGTGGCTAGGAGATGTTAACTACCTCGCCTGGTATACAGGAGGTCGTGGGTTCCACCATCATCATCACGGTGGCTAGGAGATGTTAACTACCTCGCCTGGTATACAGGAGGTCGTGTGTTCCACCATCATCATCACGGTGGCTAGGAGATGTTAACTACCTCGCCTGGTATACAAGAGGTCGTGGGTTTGATCCCGACCCTGCTGCTGTATATTTGGAGTTTGCGTGTCTCTCTATCCGTGGTCGCGTAGATTTTTCTCCAGGTCCTCCGGTTTTTCCCTCCACATTTAGAATCGACGTCACGCGTTTCGAGTATTCGGCTGCTATAAATTTCCACACGATGCTAAGCCACTTCGTTGAGCTATCATTTGTGGCCAGCTCGCTTCTGAAAGAGAGCTACATGTAGCTCAGGGGGCCTTACCTGGTTAAAAAAAAAATGTTTTTAGTTTTTTTCTTCCATCTGTGTCACCTCGTTGAGCTGAGAAGATGCTGGACGCAAAAATGCCACGGCTTTTCGCGGAAAAAATACTCGTGGGTGTCTGTTAGCCGTATCGAAAACAGACGTGGGGCCCGTCCGGACCGACCACTGGCTGCATCTGTGCGATGCGCGTGCTGATTAACGGAGGTGAAATACGCCGAAGAACTCGACACGTTCGTCAGTAGAACTTCTGTGGCCTTAAACGGGAAAACCTACGTAACAGTCGACGTTCAGGGCAACGGCCCTTCCCTCGCGGCCACGACCGTGCGGTTTGACTTTGGTCGCCCGCCCACAGTGCGCCCCTCCGCTGGTGGTCGCTGCCAAGATGGACGAGAAGGCGCTGAAGAGGGACGGCGTTTGTGCCGCCAGCCTCCCCACCACCATGGGGGTGGTGGCGGGCCTCCTGGTGCAGAACGCGCTCAAGTACGCTCGCCACCGCGCTCGCCACCACACTCACCACCACGCTCGCCACCACGCCACCCACGCTCACCACCACGTTCATCACCACCACGCCACCACGCTCACCACCACGCAAACCACCACGCTCACCACCACGCTCACCACCACCCTCGCCACCACGCTCACCACCACGCCACCCATGCTCGCCACCACGCTCGCCACCCACGCTCACCACCACCCTCGCCACCACACTCACCACCACGCTCACCACTATGCCACCCACGCTCACCACCACGCTCACCACCACGCTCGCCACCACGCTCGCCACCACGCTCATCACCACCACACTCGCCACCACGCTCGCCACCACGCTCGCCACCACGCTCATCACCACCACGCTCACCACCACGCTCGCCACCACGCTCACCACCACGCTCACCACCACCCTCGCCACCACGCTAACCACCACGCTCACCACCACGCTCACCACCACGCTCGCTTCCGCGCTCGCCACCACGCTCACCACCACACTCGCCACTATGCTCACCACCCTCGCCACCACGCTCACCACCACGCCACCCACGCTCGCCACCACGCTCGCCACCACGCTCACCACCCACGCTCACCACCACGCCACCCACACTCACCACCACGCTCACCACCACGCTCACCACCACGCTCACCACCACGCTCGCTTCCGCGCTCGCCACCACGCTCGCCACCACGCTCGCCACCACGCTCGCCACCCACCCTCACCACCACGCTCGCCACCACGCCACCCACGCTCACCACCACGCTCGCCACCACGCTCGCCACCACCCTCGCCACCACGCTCACCACTCTCGCCACCACGCTCGCTACCACACTCACCACCACCCTCGGCACCACGCTCACCACGCTCACCACCACCCTCGCCACCACGCTCACCACGCTCGCCACCACGCTCGCCACCACGCTCGCCACCACGCTCGCCACCCATGCTCACCACCATGCTCGCCACCACCCACGCCACCACGCTCACCACCACGCTCGCCACCCACGCTCACCACCACGCTCGCCACCCACGCTCACCACCACGCTCGCCACCCACGCTCGCCACCACACTCGCCACCACACTCACCACCACGCCACCCACGCTCACCACCACGCTCGCCACCAGCCTCGCCACCACACTCGCCACGCTCGCCACCATGCTAACCACCACACCATGTCCACCCTCATTCTCACCAGCACACCTCTAACCCTAAGCACGCCTCTCCACCACCACCACCACCACGCATACCAAGGTTAGGGGTTAGCGATAGTGTTTGTACCAGTTAGTGGGGGTTGTTGTAGGGGTTAGTTGGGGTTGTTGTAGGGGTTAGTGGGGGTTGTTCACAGGGGTTGTTGTTCATTATGAGTGTCAATGATATTGTTCAAGCGAGAGATTTGCATTCTGGTAATGGTTTGAGTTCGTGTTAAACAGGACGGACGTGGTGCTGGCCTTCATAGGTTCTGCTAACAGCGCTCGCCCCAACATATTGCGAAAGGCTTTACCGGTGGGCGGCGTTTTTTTGGTGGCAGGTACCTGCTGGGGTTCGGCGAGGTGAGCCGCTACCTGGGCTACAATGCCATGCAGGACTTCTTCCCCAGCATGGCCATGCAGCCCAACCCCACGTGCGACGAGCGCTACTGCCGTGAGCGCCAGCGCGAGTTCCAGGTGACGCCTGCGTCCTCGTGCCCCCCCCCCCCCCAATTACCCCACCCACCCGCCCCCCACCCCTCTCCTCCCCCCACACCCCCACCCAGACCATCTCTCTCCGTCTTCTCAATTTCTCCGTCCGTCCAGTTCAAGTTTCAAGTTGGGTTTAGCCGGGTGAAAGTCAAAGAGTCTCACTTGTGACCTGGGGCCATCGGAACGAGGTGTTGGTTTCCAGAGTAATCAGAATCAGAGTTTTTATTTGGACTGGGGTCAGGACGTGACAATGACCAGGGCCATTGAGCAAGACGGTCTGCCAGTGGGTGGCGATCGCCATGCGACGTGCCACTTGAGTAATGTCTTGGAATTTGGCAAAAATGTTGATTCCGGCTCGGCCACACGAATGGCCTGCTCTTGCGAATGATGTCATGGCATCCGTAACGTCTCCACTGCGAGTGACGCAGATGACGCACAGTGTTATTATCGCCAGGGTTCGTATTGCCGCGGTTGTTCGACCCGCGGTAATAATCAGGGCGGCTGCTGGATTCTCGAACCGTGAATATCTGCAGCGCGATGGCGCTAGGGCACATCATCCCTCACCACCCTCGCTCCTCCCCACCCCCTTCCACCACCCCTCCCCCCACCCCTTCCACCACCACTACCACCACCAGGCGAAGCCCCGTCAGGAGCCTCCTGTGGCCCCACAGGAAGAGGAGGCGGCCCCCCTGCACGAAGACAACGATTGGGGTGAGAGGGCGAGCGAGCCGCACACAAGACAAAGATCCCTGTATGGCCTTTAGCGGACCAAGAAACGTCGTGGTTTTTTTGCTGTTATCTTAAAAAAAAAATGTTCTATCTACGTGACTTTACCGAAAGAACCAAGAATATCCCTTAACAGACCGTTTGGGCAAGTGCCGTTCTCGAGTAACACCGATGAAGGTCGGCACGCCACACAAGGGGGGGGATGGTGGCAAAGCACCACACCTGGCCACCTTTGTCTCCCCGCCTCAGTGCTGATCGTAATACACCGTAGTAGGTTCTTATTTAATACCGTGTCGACCTAGGGGAGGCCCAGGACCGGTTCAAATATGCACCACTGTTATTGGTCGTGAGCGGGAATCGAACTCAGGTCGCCTGGTTCCATAGCGTAGTGCGCTAACCACTGCATTGCCGCTCCCCACAGACACACACAAAGACAAAGATCCCCCATATAGCCCTAGCAGACTGTTGGGGCAAGTGCTGTTAGCGAGCAGCACCTATGAAGGCCAGCACGGCACACGAGGGGGTGGGTGGCTAGCATCACACCCGGCCGTCTTTGTCTCCCCAGTGGTAATGTTTACACACCACACCAGGTACTCATTTGAGGACGAGTAGACCTAGGGGAGACCCAGGACCGGTTCAGATAATCCCTACATATGTTGGCCGTGAGCGGGAATCAAACCTGGGTCGCCAGATTTGTAGTGCAGTACACTAAATGTTAGAAAAACAAAGACACGTATACACACACAGACTAACGTACACACACACACGTACACAGACACGTACACACACGTACACAACAACAACCGCCATTCGCCACTAAGTGGCGGTGACATCACCACGATGCTTGTGCCAGGCTATGTGCACATTGAGGCCACGTGAAGTGTCGAACGCCCGCTGGCAGAAGGTCACGGGGCAGACCCAGGTGCCACGGGTCGACTGACTGAGACGACTGATATGACTGGCTGATGCACCACCTGTGCCTCCTACTGTGCCAACTTGCTGTGCTTTAGCCACCCGGCGCTCCGCTCGTTGTTGTGAGCATCGCTCCTCCGCCCTCCGTTGTTACTGGAGGGCGACTGCCTCCAACTGCCCAGTAGCCTCCTTCACGAGCCTCCTCCACAGAGGCCGATCTTGACACCGCCGGTACCAGTCATCGGCAAGTTCACTCAGCTCCACATCCTCCTGTACCACATCACTCCATCTCTTCTCTAGCCCATGCCGCGCCCGTTTAGCCCCCTCGATCCGGCCGAACAAAAGCTATTTGGGCATGCGGGCTACATGACCCAGCCAACGCAGCCTTGCCTGCCGGAGGAGCTCACCGATGGGACTTTGCCCAGATCTTTCAAGGATTTGTGAGCTCCTCACACAATCCAGCTTGGTTAAACTCAGGATGGGTCGTAGGCAGGCCAGCCTAAATCTTTCTAACCCGCGAAGATGTTCCATTAGGGGGGTCCACGTTTTGCAAGCGTAGAGAAGGGAAGGAATGACCGTGGCTGAGAAGACCTGAAGCTTCGTGCGGAGCGACAGACCAGGTATCTTCCACACAGCGTTACGCAACCGATGAAAAGATAATGCCGCTGAACTGATTCGGAGTGAGGCCTCTGCTTGCAAACCGGAGCCGGTCATGAGCTTACTGCCCAGGTATGGGAAATTCTCCACTCTCTCCACAACTGCCCCCATTACCTAATGGGAGTTGTGGGGGTGGAGTGTCCAATGGTACAAAATACCCAGGCAGGTGCTTAGTTTTGATGGGGCTGATGATAAGGCCCCACCTCTTAGTGGCAAGCTCCAGGTTCAGCAGCAGCACCTCCAACTCCTCCTCTGAGTGAGCAGCAATTACCAGATCATCGGCATACATAATGTGGTTGACCAATAGGTAGCCATCCCTTGACCGCATCCGGGCATCGATCAGCCTCCCATTGTATGATAATTCCTCCCGTACATCCATCGAAGGCTTCACAAACTACGTGGTCGAAAAATATGGTAAATAATGGGGGAGCCAGAGGACATCCCTGTCGCACCCCAAGGTGAACAGGGAATGGCTCCGACTCCCGGCCACGTAGTTTTACCCGGGCCTGCTTACCATCATGAAGGTTCTTAATGATCGTGAGCAGAGGGTCAGGGACTCCAAAAGCACGAAGAACAACCCAGAGCCCAAGCCTACTGATGGTATCATAGGCCTTGACCAGGTCAATAAAGCAGAGATGTAGGTTTTGTTGGAATTCCCTACACCTCTGCTGTAGCAGACGGACAGAAAATATGGCATCTGTGCAGGACCGCCCTTTCCTAAGACCGCAATCGGGCTCCGCAAGCCTCTCCTCAGCGTGCCTGGCAAGGCGATGTTGAATAATCCTTGCCAGGACCTTTCCCGGCACACTGAGGAGTGAGATGCCCCTGTAGTTGTTACAGTCTCTCCGGTCCCCCTTATTAAAGAGGGGGACCACCAGGGCATCCTTCCAATCCTGTGGAACCCGTCCAGTGGTCCAGAATGTTGTTATGATATCATGTAGGGGAGTCTGTGTAAAAACGCTACCCTCCCTCAGCATTTTGCTTGGGAGATCATCTCTGCCCGGTGCCTTTCCTGGTCTCAGACTCTGGATTGCCTTCAGTACTTCCTCAACAGATGGCACCTCAGCCAGCCACTCACAGGGGGTGACTTCTTCCAATATTTTAGGCACTGCAGCCTCAGCAGGGTCATCCCCACTTTGTCCCACGATGTTTTCTAGGCTGAGGGATTTCTGCTCCCCCAGGACCTCACAGAAATGCTCATCAAATCTGCAAACCTGTTCCTGGAGATTGGATCACCGTTCTTTCTCCTAATGATGGTAATAGGCGTGGCGCTGCAGGTTACTTTTTTGATAGAGTTAAATAGTGATTTGTGATTGCGGGCCATTGAGGCAGACTCCATCTCCTCAGCAACCCGCGACCACCACCCATCCTTGCAGTGCCTCACGGCTCTCCGAACCTCCGAGCAAAGGCTGCAGTAAGCCTCCGCATTCTCGGACGTGGGATGCTGTAGACGATTAGAGTGGGCCTGTCGCTTTTTCTCAGCCAACCTGAACACCTCCTCTGTCAGTCAGGGTCTCTGGGGAGGTCTGGACCGCGTACCCAAAGCAGCCATTGCAGCTGCATGAGTCACAGTCCTAAACCTTGCCCATTTACCCTCGACATCAGGAGGAGTGGGGGACGATGCCAACCCCAGCCGCAAGCGATGATGAAAGTCTCGCTTGCAACTTTCATCAGCTAGCTGAGACCAGGCCACTTTAATAGTAATAATAATAATACATCTTATTTGTGAGCGCTTTGGGTTTGAATGGGGTCCTTGGAGGATTTAAAACGCTGTCCCATTGAGGAGCACCCCGGGAGTGCTCCCAGCAGTGGCTGGCGGGGGCCGTTTGTGAGGGGGCTGACGGAGCCAACGGAGGGAGCTGATGGAGCCGAGGGGGCCGACGGAGCCGGGGGGGGGGGGGCGACGGAACTGGGGGGGGGGGGGGGGGGCGACGGAGCCGGGGGGTGGGCGACGGAACTGGGGGGGGGGGGTGACGGAGCCGGGGTGGGGGGGCGACGGAGCCGGGGGGGGGGGCGACGGAGCCGGGGGCGGGTCGACGGCGTGAGCAGAGGGAGCCAACACTGACTCAGTCACACCATGCACTGACTCACTCACACATCATACACTGACTCAGTCACACCATGCACTGACTCAGTCACACCATGCACTGACTCACTCACACATCATACACTGACTCACTCACACATCATACACTGACTCACTCACACATCATGCACTGACTTAATCACACCATGCACTGACTCACTCACACATCATGCACTGACTCACTCACACATCATACACTGACTCACTCACACATCATACACTGACTCAGTCACACCATGCACTGACTCAGTCACACCATGCACTGACTCACTCACACATCATACACTGACTCAGTCACACCATGCACTGACTCAGTCACACCATGCACTGACTCACTCACACATCATACACTGACTCACTCACACATCATATACTGACTCACTCACACATCATACACTGACTTAATCACACCATGCACTGACTCACTCACACATCATGCACTGAATCACTCACACATCATACACTGACTCACTCACACATCATACACTGACTCACTCACACATCATACACTGACTCAGTCACACCATGCACTGACTCACACATCATACACTGACTCAGTCACACCATGCACTGACTCACTCACACCATGCACTGACTCACTCACACCATGCACTGACTCACTCACACATCATACACTGACTCACTCACACATCATACACTGACTCACTCACACCATGCACTGACTCACTCACACATCATACACTGACTCACTCACACATCATACACTGACTCACTCACACCATGCACTGACTCACATCATACACTGACTCACTCACACATCATGCACTGACTCACTCACACCATGCACTGACTCACTTACACCATGCACTGACTCACTCACACATCATACACTGACTCACTCACACCATGCACTGACTCACTCACACCATGCACTGACTCACTTACACTATGCACTGACTCACTCACACATCATACACTGACTCACTCACACCATGCACTGACTCACTCACACATCATACACTGACTCGCTCATCACGCGCTTACTCACTCACACATCATACACTCGCACAACCACTGACCCATTCACTCATCATACACAGGTTCACTCATCGTGTGCTGGCTCACTCGCACATCATACACTCACTCACACTGCTGCTGACTCGCTCACACATCATACACTGACTCACTCATCATACACTCACTCACTCACACATCATACACTGACTCACTCATCATTCACTGACTCACTCATCATACGCTGACTCGCACATCATACGCTGACTCGCACATCATACACTCACTCACGCTGCTGCTGACTCACTCACACATCATACACTGACTCACTCATCATTCACTGACTCACTCATCATACGCTGACTCGCACATCATACGCTGACTCGCATATCATACACTCACGCTGCTGCTGACTCACTCACACATCATTCACTGGGAGTGTGGTGCTGCCAGCTATGGCTGCAGTTTTTTGACGTACGTGTTATGTATATCGTTTATTGTTAAATTTAAAATCACAGTTCCTATGATTACTGTTGTTACATTGTTTTTATAGCTTTATTTTGGTGATTCGAAAACATATGGTTAATCTAAATTGTCTTGTGGTTGTTGTTGTTGGCTTGCACCACATTGTGATTTTTGCACACAGCGTTTTAATAAGTTTTTTTTTGCGTGGAATATTTGCTGGTTTATTCCAGGATGTTTCTGTTACGCGTTGTCGCTTTAAGATGTTCTGTGTTCAAATTGTGTTTGTTGCGGTTGCACCCGACTTAGGAGCCGCATGGCTCACAGGGCTATACCTAATAAATTAAAACTTGATACTTGAAAATTGGGTGTACACCCACCACCGGAGTGGAAGAATGTCAGGCGCATCTTACAGATGACAAGTCGATGGTCAGTGGGCAGATGAGCTCCACGGTAGGTCCTGGTGTGAAGGACATGGGCCCGCATCTGCTGCTCCGTCACTATGTAGTCCAGCAGATGTTCTTGCTTGGACCCGGCATGCGTCCATGATGTTGTGTGGATGTGCCGATGCCGGAACAGCGTGTTGGTAATTACAAGCCCATGGGCTGCACAAAAATCTAGCAGCCTCTGACCGTTGTTATTGAGCTGATCTGGCCCATGCCTTCCAGTCACTCCAGACCAGGTGCCAACATCATGACCAACTCGGGCATTGAAGTCGCCCAACAAGATGACTCTATCCCAAGGGGCCACTTTAGCCAGCACCTGTGACAGGAGGTCATAGAAGGCTTCTGACTCATCGGCTTTGCCTGCATCCCTCCACGGATGTTCGTCTTCGGTGGGGGCATAAGTAACCACGACCACCACTCCTCGCCTCCGGTTGATGGGAAGGCGAGCCCAAAGTAGCCTGGGGCTTACCGCTTCCCACACCTCACCGCCACGCTCCCACGCCCCCTTCATTCTTTTGTTCAGAAGAAGAGCCACACCCTGTTGTTTGGCAGTCTGCTGCCCCGAGTAGAGGACTGTCCACCCCTCACGGTGGCAGGAGCCAGAACCGGTCCACCGGACCTCCTGAATGCCACAGAGATCCAGGCGGTACCGGTCCAGCTCCCGGCAGAGGAGTGGCAGCCTCTCCTCCGCAGTGAGCGTTCGAACATTCCACGTGGCCACACGAAGTGGCTTTTCGTTGTTTCTGGAGGAGCCCTCGAGGGTAAAGTTCCAGTCTCGTGGCTCCGCCAATTGGGGTTTGGCCAGGAGACGAGGAGGTAGGGGGTTGTTTTTGCCGGACACACGTACACATGCATGTACACACACATGTACACGCACACAGAAAGCTACAACCCCCGTTAGATTTTCGCACAGGGCCTACATCAGTGGCGACTATCTCAACCAGTCCTGGGCATCCCCTCGGTTGACCTCTAAGCCTTAAATTAGCACTTGGTGCTGTGTCCAACCATCAGCACTGGAAACACAAAGGCAGCCAGGCATGGTCCAGGCCACCCCACCCCCTCGTGCCCCATGCAGGCCTTTGTTGGTGCTCGCTAAAAGCACTTGCCGCAGCAGTCTATGCAGGCTGTACAGGAGATCTTTGTCTGTGTACGTATATATTATATGTACGTGTGTCTGTGTGTGTCCTGCCTGCAGGGATAGAGTTGTTGGCTGAGACGTCAACGGAGGCGGGCGAGGAGGAGGTGGAGGGGAGTCCGGGAGTTGTTCTTGTGCCAGGGGTGCGACTCGCCTACACCAAACCTGCACAGGTACACACACAGGTATGTACGCAGGTACGCACACACAGGTACACACAGGTACGTACGCAGGCACGCACGCAGGTACGCACACCGGTACGCAGATACTCACACAGGATACACAAAGATCCCTCATATAGCCTTAACAGACTGTAGGGGCAAGTGCTGTTAGCGAGCACCTATGAAGGCCGGAACGGTACACGAGGGGGTGGGTGGCCAGCACCACGCCCGACCGCATTTGTCTCCCTAGTGGCAATGTTTACACACCGCACCAGGTACTCATTTGAGGCTGAGTCGACCTAGGGGAGGCCCGGGACCGGTTCAGATAATCATCACTGGTGTTGGCCGTGAGCGGGAATCGAACCCGGGTCGCCAGGTTCATAGCGCAGCGCGCTAACCGCTACACTATCGCTCCCCACACCGGTACACACGCAGACACACAGGTATGCACACGTCACACAGTGTGACATGGCCCAGCGATAGCATGTTCAATTATCTTTGATAAATTCACTTGGGACATCATCTATCCTCATCTATTTATTTATTTGTACACCAGTCACCCCACATATCTGTTCAATGTTTCTGTGTAAACTTAATTTAGTATTTGCGTAGTGAGCGACTTCCGAGACACGACGTGTAGAGGGCTCCTTATTTATTTCTCACACTTAGAAGCACAATCGCTGGGCCACACACATATATATACACGGCCACGCATAGCTGACGCACCCATACAGCCCCATCGTCGGCGTCTAACTACATAGCTGGTTGACTAATATAGCGACGACGACGACGATGGGAGCCGTGCAGAGGATCGGCCATGCGGCCGGACGTTGAAGAGAGATGACGGCGAAGACAGCGACTGCAGCCCCGAGCCCTCGGTCACGACCCCCCCTATCGACTCCTTAGCGTGGCCAGGCCCCGCCTCCGGCCACGCCTCCTTCTAGAACCTTCGAGCAGGTTCCCGGAGCTTCCCGACTGACCCCGCCTTTTACCTTTAACCCAGACACGCCCCCCTTCTAGCTGGTTATTATGTAATGCACCCATACTCGTGATTACCCCTCCTGGTCAACAGATGGCACCCTTTCATTACAATTGTACTCCGATCAGGGTAGAAATAATTCACCCCTCCGGAGTGACCAATTTTTGGTGAAGTATGGTCACATGTATGTATTCCTGTGGTGTACAAAACGCCTCATCCAGCAGTGGATTCATGACATGGGGGGTGACCCGCCTCCACTTCTAAAGTCGAACTGCATGGTGCCTTCCCCTGCCCCCCCATCCCCCCTCCTTCTCCCACCGGCTCTCCCACCACTCCTTGTCTACCTTGGGGTCTCACCCCTCGCCCCCCCCCCCCGTCCCCCGGGTCCCCCCCCAACCCCACCCCCTTCTCCCCGAGCAGTTGGCTGAAGACGCTGAGCCCTCCGTGGAGGAGACGGAGCAGAGTCTGGAGGACCTCATGGCGCAACTCAAGGGGATGTAGGCGAGAGTGCACGAGGCCACGGCCTGGCACCGGACCTGCACACCCGGGAGCCCAGTCATGGACCCGAATCGCAGAACTTTCCGTCCTGGGACCTAGAACCATAGAAACCCAGGAATGCCGCGTTCCTGAAACCCTGGTACCTGGAATAACCCGACCTTGGCGATGAACCCAGACCACAGAACCTTCTCTCCGGGCAGGGACTCGTGACCTAAGACACTCACTGAGCTTGGAAGATGTACGTGTGTACGTTGAACTTCTTTCGCACCGTACGTAGCCAACCGTGCTAATCCGAGGTGCGGGGGAAGGACAACAAACTAAACACAAAAAGCAGTTCTAAAGAGCTTGAGACCCATGACCCATCACCTGGAATCACTGGTCTGGTGCTTGCCAATCAACCTGGAAAATGAGACCTTGCAAGCTGGGGCCTGGTTTCATGGAAACTTCACAGGGAACTTAGGACCTTAGGATCTGAGCAATGAACCTAGGCCTCAGGACCAGAACTGGGGTCATTTATAATTCCATTTAGAGCAGCATTGTTGATTAAAAGGAAAATTGCATTGGTCATTGTAATATGTTGCGGATTACACATTTACGTATGTTGACCATCTTTCACACCGTACTTAGTCAACAAACTAAACGTAAAAAGCAGTTCCAAAGGAACGTGTTCACAATTTAGACGTAAAAGTGCAAAACTCCAGTGGCTTTCTAATATCGGGAAGAAGAGCATTCCAGACGGCCGCGGAAGCGCTTCTGGAAGCGCCACGCGATGCGGTTGTCATCTTTGTTCGATGGTCAGCCAAAAGCCGTTGCTGTGAATTGTAATTGATTCCAGGTCTGCTCAGCACTAGGGCACCTTAGGGCCTTCGGATTCAGTCCCTGGCACCTCGTACCTGGAACCTCGTTCCTGGAACCTCGTGCCCGGAACCTCGTACCTGGACTCCAGGGATCGTACACACGAGGTCCTCTATTTTCGTTGTTTCGCTATAACGTCGCCAACAAATTTACGGAACGTAATTCGACTTAAAAGGCGTCGATTTCACTCGGAACGTTACGAACAATCGCAAGATAGCGCGGGAGGTTATGCAGCGTACGTGACGAGAGTGACGCCATGGCACCAACAAATTAGCGCTCAATCCTCGGGTGTTTTACAACGTCGCCATTCTCTGCACGGCGCTACCCTCCAAACGCAATCTCAGCCACCATCTCGGCCGATAATTCTATCTTAACTTATGTATTTAAAGGTGTTATGTAATACCTCGGCGGGTGACGTTTTTGTAACCCGTGCAACTTTATTCGACACAAAAAGCGACCCCTCCCAAGGAACCTATCCTACATTTATATCATCAAGTCAACGGTGGTAAAATGAGGCCTTTAGATTTCCGTGGCGCCTGACATCGCCTTTTTTTTCCGGGGACGCGTCATCCAACATAAACGGAGGACTCGCTGCGCCCGGGGAGGAGATCTCGACTCAGACCCAAGGAGTCTAGAATTTAGGAACCTCGGATCTGGAACCATGGGACCTCGACATTGAACTCAAACCAATTGGACAGAGTCCCTCCTAAGTCCAGGGACCCGGTCCCCTAATCCCAGGGACCTTATAAATCCCATGGAGCCCGCTGCACTCGGTCCTTACTGCTCCCGTGGCGCACGCAATCAACCGTGCTGATGGAATGATGATCGTCGTCATCATCCGTGATCGATCCACTGCTGGATGCTCTTCTTAAGCCGTCGCCATCTTTCGCGGTTCTGGAGTGTTACTACCCCACCTACCTTAAACAACGGTTTACCCTCGGGTAGCTAATGTCCATTCCCACGCTCGTGTCATTTTAAATGTAAATCTCGCTACGAATACCGTGTCCGGCTCTTGTTTTAATCGCTGCCTGCACCTGCTTTGTCCACATTCGGGCAAGTAGTTGTGCAACCGGGGCATTTCCTACCGTGTGTGAGTGTCTGTGCGTGTGTCTGTGTGTGTCTGTGTGTTTGTGTGGGGAGCGGTAGTGTAGCGGTTAGCGCGCTGCGTTACGAACCCGGGAACCCGAGTTCAATTCCCACTCACGGCCAACACCAGTGACGATTATCTGAACCGGTCCATGGGCTTCGCCTAGGTCGACTCAACCTCAAACGAGTACCTGGTGCAGTGTGGAGTAAACATCGCCACTAGGGAGACGAAGGCGGTCGGGCGTGGCGCTGGCCACCCACCCCCTCGTGTGCCGTGCCGGCCTTCAAAAGGTGCTCGCTAACAGCACTTGCCCCAACAGTCTGTTGAAGACTATATGGGGGAGCTTTGTCTTTTGTCGCGTGGCCACGTCCCCCCTCTGGCTCGGCCCACACCCCACCCAACCCCACGGCGAGATTCTCACAACCAATCGTTATTGGCAAATGTGGTCGCATCAGTGCCAAATTAAGCTGGTGCGGGGCCTGTCGCATGTGATAGGGGTCCTAAATAAAAAAAAATGATTAAAACACAAAAAAAATTTACTTGCATAGTAAAGTAATTGTATTTTTTCATTTGCTATACAGCCAGATAACACCCAGTCGTTCATAAAAGTTGAAGGCGGTATAGTACTATAGTAATGAAGTGCAAAATCACTGAACCGGAATTGATAGCTTGAAAGCATTTAGCGCGGGGCCCTTGAAAGTGCGGGGCCCGTAGCTACTACATACGTAGTAACTACTACTACGTATGTAGTAGTAGTAGCTACATACGTACAGTGAGGGAAAAAAAGTTTTATCCCCTGCTGATTTTGTACGTTTGCCCACTGACAAATAAATTATCAGTCTATAATTTTAATGGTAGGTTTATTTGAACAGTGATAGACAATAACAACAACAAAAATCCAGAAAAACGCATTGCAAAAATTTTATAAATTGATTTGCATTTTAATGAGGGAAATAAGTATTTGACCCCTCTGCAAAACATGACTTAGTACTTGGTGGCAAAACCCTTGTTGGCAATCACAGAGGTCAGATGTTTCTTGTAGTTGGTCACCAGGTATGCACACATCTCAGGAGGGATTTTGTCCCACTCTTTGCAGATCTTCTCCAAGTCATTAAGGTTTCGAGGCTGACCTTTGGCAACTCGAACCTTCAGCTCCCTCCACAGATTTTCTATGGGATTAAGGTTTGGAGACTGGCTAGGCCACTCCAGGACCTTAATGTGCTTCTTCTTGAGCCACTCCTTTGTTGCCTTGGCCGTGTGTTTTTGGTCATTGTCATGCTGGAATACCCATCCACGACCCATTTTCAATGCCCTGGCTGAAGGAAGGAGGTTCTCACTCAAGATTTGACGATACATGGCCCCGTCTATCGTCCCTTTGATGCGGTGAAGTTGTCCTGTCTCAGCAGAAAAACACCCCCAAAGCATAATGTTTCCACCTCCATGTTTGACGGTGTGGACGGTGTTCTTGGGGTCATAGGCAGCATTCCTCCTCCAAACACGGCGAGTGGAGTTTATGCCAAAGAGCTCCATTTTGGTCTGATTTGACCACAACACTCACCCAGTTGTCTTCTGAATCATTTAGATGTTCATTGGCAAACTTCAGACGGGTATGTATATGTGCTTTCTTGAGCAGGGGGACCTTGCGGGTGCTGCAGGATTTCAGCCCTTCACGGCGTAGTGTGTTACCAGTTGTTTTCTTGGTGACTATGGTCCCAGCTGCCTTGAGATCATTGTCAAGATCCTCCCGTGTAGTTCTGGGCTGATTCCTCACCGTTCTCATGATAATTGCAACTCCACGAGGTGAGATCTTGCATGGAGCCCCAGGCCGAGGGAGATTGACAGTTCTTTTGTGTTTCTTCCATTTGCGAATAATTGTACCAACTGTTGTCACCTTCTCACCAAGCTATTGGCAATGATCTTGTAGCCCAATCCAGCCTTGTGTAGGTCTACAATCTTGTCCCTGACATCCTTGGAGAGCTCTTTGGTCTTGGCCATGGTGGAGAGTTTAGAATCTGATTGATTGCTTCTGTGGACAGGTGTCTTTTATACAGGTAACAAGCTGAGATTAGGAGCACTCCCTTTAAGAGTGTGCTCCTAATCTCAGCTCGTTACCTGTATAAAAGACACCTGGGAGCCAGAAATCTTTCTGAATGAGAGGGGGTCAAATACTTATTTCCCTCATTAAAATGCAAATCAATTTATAACATTTTTGACATGCATTTTTCTGGATTTTGTTGTTATTCTGTCTCTCACTGTTCAAATAAACCTACCATTAAAATTATAGACTGATCATTTCTTCGTCAGTGGGCAAACGTACAAAATCAGCAGGGGATCAAATACTTTTTTCCCTCACTGTAGCTACTACGTACGTAGCTACTACATACGTAGCTACTTTTGCGACTACGATAATCCGGCACTGGGTGGCATGGTGGGTCGCAAAGTGGTGTCTACTACAGGCATCTGGTTCGGCCAAGTTGCTCGCAAAACTGGTTGCAGCGACGTACGCGCACACGTGCAAGCGACATAGTTGCGTGCAACTTGAGTTGCATTTAACTGATCGCTCGGTCCGTGGGCACGCCTGTAGTTCGTGGTTATTGCACGTTGCTAGTTATATAAATTGCAATCGTAAAAAAAAAATCACCTCTCTCCAACACCCACCACTGATCGACGGATAATGAAATATCCACCACCCCAACCTCGCCCCCCTCCTGCGATTAAAACAATGGCCTCATCCAGCTTGAGCCGTCTTCAAGTTGACATCGCCCTCCTTCGGCCGACATTCGCCGTTGATGGCAATCGTCGTGAATAAATGCGGGCAATGCAATTCATATTGTTGTTGATCGAAATGTAACTTGTATTGTCTCCTTTGGAGGTGCTGCGCACGTGTGTGTGCGTGGGGGGAGCAGTGGTGAGCACGCTGCACTACGAAGCAGACGTCTCACGAGTTCGATTCCCGCTCGCGGGGCCAACATCGGTGACGAATGTCTGAACCGGTCCTGGACCTCTCCTAGGTCGACTCGGCCTTAAATCAATACATTGTGTGGAAACAAAGGTGGCCGGGCGTGGTGCGTCCCACACCGCCTCCTCGCCGTTCTTCATCGGCGCGTGCTCACAACAGCACTTGCCCCAACAGCCTGCGGAGGCTACACGAGGGTGAACCTTTGTCAGGATTGTTTCTGGTTGTTTACAGCCGGCACCCTCTGGGTGTTTCGATCGCTCTGTCTCCACAAGCCTCGCGTTCCGAGATCTGTCACTCGAGAAAGCGATGGCATTCGTTCGGGGGGAGGCGGTGGGGCGTGTGATTGGGTGAGCTGGGAGACGCAAAGATAAGAGACGCAGGATCCCAGACAGCCTGGCAGGAGGACAGAATGGGAGCTCCGAGACGCAAGGGGATGCCAAGAGGGCCCCTGGCGAGGGCGGGCATGTCGGGTTCGGGGTGTCATTCATTGTTTGTGTCTGTGCACGCGCCCGTAGGCATCAGGGACTGTGGAGACAAAGGCGGCCGGGCGTGGCGGTGGCCACACGCCTCCCTCCTGTGCGGTGCCGGCCTTCATAGGTGCTGCTCGCTAACAGCACTTGCCCCCGACAGTCTGTGTAGGTTATACGGGGGATCTTTGTCTTTGTGTCAATCTGTGTGTGTGTGTGATGGCCTTCATAGCTGCTGCTCGCTAACAGCACTTGCCCCGGCAGCCTGTTGAGGCTACGCGTGGAGGATCTTTGTCTTGTTTGCGTGGGGTAGCGGCTAAAACTCAGCAAGTTGGCACGTTAGGGAGTGCAGGTGGGCGCATCGGCCAGTCATCTCGACCAGCCAACCCATGGCACCTGGGTCTGTCCTGTGGCCTCCTGTCAGTGAACCTTCGACACTTCACGTGGCCTCAAAATGCACCTAGCCTGGCACAGGCGCTGTGGTTCCATCAACGCTGCTTCGTGGCGAACGGGAGGGGCTGTTGTGTGAGTGTGTGGGGAGCGGTGGTGCAGCGGTTGGCGCGCTGCGCTACCAACCCGGCCACCTCAGTTGGATTCCCACTCAACGGCCAATATCGGTGACAAGAAATCTGTACCGGTCCTGGGCTTCCCCAAGGTCGGCTCGGCCTTAAATGAGTGCCTGTTGCGGTGTCATCCTCCACGGGATGTTTTCCCACAAGTGTTGAAAGTGTCAAATGTCAATGAAAACGCGCCTCGCGAGTACACAGACAAAGATCCCCCGTATAGCCCACACGGGTTGTTGGGGCAAGGGCTATTAGCGAGCACCGTGGTGGGGATGGCCCACACCACGCCCGGCCGCTTTTGTCTCCCCAGTGCTGATTGTTTATACGCAGCACCGGTTGCTCATTTTAAACTGAGCCGACCTAGGGGAGGACTTGGACCGGTTCAAATATTCATCGAGGACATTTAGTGTTGGTGCGAATGGAATGCAAGTCGATCGACGGGTTCGTAGCGCAATGCTCGCAAACCACTGCGCCACCGCTCCTCACTCGTGAATACAAAGACAAATATCCCCCGCATGGCCTCAACAGACTGTTGGGGGCAAGTGCTGTTAGCGAGTAGCAGCACCTATGGAGGTGGTGGGTGGCAAGTGCCAACAAGCCCGGCCGGCCGCCTTTGTCTCTCTGGCGGCGATGTCAAGGCTGGCCGGCAGGCAGACCGGCCGCCAGGCAGGCCGCCAGGCAGGCAGGCAGACAGGCAGGCAGGCCGCCAGGCAGGCAGGCAGACAGGCAGGCAGGCAGACAGACAGGCAGGCAGGCAGGCAGGCAGGCAGACAGGCAGGCAGGCAGACAGGCAGACAGGCAGGCAGGCCGGCAGACAGGCAGGCAGGCCGGCAGGCAGGCAGACAGGCAGGCAGGCAGGCAGACAGGCAGGCTGGTAGGCAGGCAGGCAGGCTGGTAGGCAGGCAGGCAGGCAGGCCGGTA